CGGAAATAATGTTTTCCTTTGATTGGATTAGTTAGCCAATTCTACGCCAGGAACTAGTTTGAATATCCAGTAACGCATTTATTTGTGTCTGTGGTGTAAGGTTTACAGATAAGAGGTGTTGACGCAACAGTTTCTTGATTTAACACAAAAGCATGGAATGTCTTTGAACATTTTTGTGATCTTTTGCAAAAATTCAAAAAAGTGTGAACCGCCTTCAAATTTATAGTTGTCAGTTATGCTTTTCTGTTTGAGAGAGTTCAAAACTTGCCGCGTGAATAATTTTGACAAATGGCACTGGAATGGTTCGTCCAATACAAGAACGAGGACCGGTCCAAGGAATGACGAAGAGGAAGAACAACAGCCAAGAACACCAAAAAACTTCTCCAAGGCTCTCGCAAGGAAGGAGAAATGAGAAAATGTGCTGTCAAAGCTCCGTATACTCCACCACAACCACAAAAGAAATCAAAAAGTCGTTAGATCATACCAAATAACTTTTGGGATGTTCAAAACAAAAAATTGGGATTAAGAATATGGCTCGGGGTAGATTTGAAATGGCGTTCCATCGCTGAACGATTGTTACCTGAAGCAGTAAACAAAATAACAACGTCCAACTCTGGATTATTTTTTCAAATTCAAAAAAAAAATTCATTAGCAAATGTATGAACGAATTTTTGCAAATATTGAGCTGTCGGGTATGTACGAATGATGTGTTGTTGTTGTTGTTGTATAATTAAAGATACCAAATTGAAATGACCCGTTCTACATGAAATCTAATAACAATAATCAAAATTATGGGACGATCATGAACATCATCCTATTATTAATCGGAACATAAAGTAATGGAACAGCAAATGAAGAATTTAATAGCCAAACAAAAGGAGATGAAGTTGTATGTCAAGGAAGAATTTAAAAAGATACAATTGAGAATGGAAAAAGAAGTCATGGATGCTCAACAAGATGGAAATACAACAACCGTTCAAACGTAAGTAAGGGTAATTGTAGCAATGATGATTCAATTTTCCAATTGATTTTAGAATTGAGAAAATTGTTGATCTCACTAATGTACATATCAAATTAATCGAGGATGGAATTGATAAGGATGTCAACATGCTTTCAGAAGAAGTCAAATTATTAAAAGTTCTCAAATACGAAAAAGATTATTGGAAAGAATTGGAATTGAAGATGGTAGTTGGAGAAAATGAAATTGTGGAAATCGATGTTTTCAATCAGGATTTGGAGAGTAATTTCGAAAAATCTAAAGAAGAATTTGATAATTTTATGAAAGAAATTAGAAAAATGATTGACCGCCTGGCATTTACTGAAATTACCGAGCTATTGACGAGTTGTGTGTATTAGGGGGACAAATCTTCGCTTTCAAAACGAGTATTCTAATAATCGTACTGTATTTTAGAACTTATTGGAATACAACAATTTAAATACTATGGTTCTTAATGAGACTAGACAACTCTGAACCTTGAGAGCTTGATAAAAATCCTTGATAGAGTGTCAAGAGATGAGTTTGACTAATAGCAGCACCTTCCGTGAAGAGAATATTTGGTGGATTAATCACATTTTCCTTATACTTGGTCAAGATCTTTTGTTTCTCCTCAGGTGGCAACACGGTAAAGTTTTCATCATTGATAAATTGTTGAATAATTCGTTTGGCATAAACACTTCTTTGAATCGAATCGGTAGCCTTTTCATACTTCATGGCTTGCACACAGAAATCAATCACATCCGTCGAAACCGAAAGTGACTGTGCATAATCTTTGAAATAAATGGCATAATTCTCATTGTAGAGCAATTGTGACAAGTCCGGTAAATAATTGAAAGTAGATGCATCTACAGGAGGTGATGAGGATGCTGAAGCTACACTTGTTGTTGTTACCTTAATTAAAGGTGATGAATTAGAAAAGGCAGAAATACCATATTGCTGTTGTTGTTGCTGTTCTGGAATAAGATCTGGAAGTACGACACTACTACTGACACCACCACCATTCACAAGCTTGTTCATGAGAGAAAATGAAGAGTTGGAACCAACACTACTAGTTGTTGTTGTTGCAGCAATAGTGTTTGCAGTGGCTACCACGGGCACAAACGTCATTGGAGAGATCGATGTAGAATTGGATGAAGGTTTTGGAATGATTCCATTCACTGGTTGCTGTACAGAATTACTACTACTAGTAGTAGTGTTGTTGTTAAAATTCAATTTTCCATTTCGCACCTTATAATTATAGGTCGAACTTTCACTTGAGGCAATATTGAATGGTCCCAAAGGATCACCTCCTCGATGACACACTGAAAATGCTTCTTCTACTAAAAATTTCAATCGAGTGCACATGATTTTCGACTGATTTGGATCCACAGCCAATTTTGGAGTATATTTTGAAATGTCATTCAATCTCTGAATATCCTCCGTTGTGTATTTCAACAATTGCTTAAAATCACGAATGGCAGGATTGAGTACTTCACACAAGAATGAACTTGCCACTTCGCTCTCTGAAGTAATGGCCAATTTGTACAACAAGGCAAATGCATTGGCATCTTTTGCAGAAAATCTCACAAATGAAGAAACTACAAGTAAAATGGCATCTCGTAAACGTGCCGAACTCATCAAGTACATGTTGGTTAAAATTTCAGCAGCGTGAATGACATAATCTGGATTTGAAAAGAAGGAATTGACTAGTTCTAAACACACTCGATTGGAAAAGTCGACTGGAGTGATGGTTGTCGTGTTGTTAAAACATGCAGCGAGAGCTCCAGTTAATTCCTCTCGTACACTGCTCATTAAATTTTGACATTCTGGAGTATCCATGTCACTCACAAAATAGGGCATTAAAATGACAAGTGACGTGAAGAGTTTTCGTTCTGGAACTTCATCTAAAAAGTGAGAATTACTTGCTCTCAAATAAATGGTCAACAAGTCTAAAATCTTGGGTTGAATATTCTTGTTGGGAATAAATTCTGCCAGTGTGTATAACATTCCTCTCCAACCTCTCTCTGCAATATATCTCTCTAATTCATTCTTGACAATCTTTTCATTTTCAATTAGGAAATATTTCGAGAAACATTGTTCATTATTTCTCAATTCATATAAACAATCAACAATGGCTTCAATGTAGATGGAAGAATTGGATCCAGCAGCTACTGGAACAGCTGCCAAAATAGAAATCAATGTCCAAAATACATGTTTGTAATCGAGAGATGCATTTCGAGTGATAATTAAATGTAAAACATCCAACGCTAATACTTTTGAATCCACAAGAATATCTTGAGCATTATTTAACGTAGGAGGACAAGTTCGATTCACAAGTGCCAACGATTGTTGTTGAGGTGAATTGAAAAAGTTCGATTCATTTGCATCTGCAAAAGTATAAACGCAATGAAGCACTCGATAGAGAACGGTTCTTGAAAGTGTAATATTCTTGGAATTTCTCAAAATGTAATAGAAAATACTGAGATAATTGTGAACGAGAATTAACTTTTTGGTGTCACGAGTGGCCATTTCTAAAGCATGTTGAGCGAAATAATCGAGAAGAAGTGGATTCACTGACTGTTCCATACATTCGACAAGAGTTTTGATTAAATAACCAGCACTGATGGAACCTTGATCGGTAGTGAACGGAACGAGAGATTCCAATTCGAGTTGTGTCAACTTGTCCGTATTATGTTCGAGAAGACAATCCACCCAATTAATGGTCACGACTTTTTCTTTCAATAATTTCACAAGGAGTAACCAATTCTTCTTGTCATGAATTTGAGAAGCAGTATGTGAAATGATACTCAATAACAAGCTTGTGAAGAGTGTGTGGGCATTTTCGTTGGATCCATCCATTCGAATTAATACATAGGATAAAATGATGTGAGCTTTTTCAAGAATGTGAATTTTGTGTTCGTTGTGGCACACAATGTCATTCAATAGACACATGACAGCATCGCCATAGGTGTCGTCACAAGTGGTCAAGTCACTAATCAATAATTGGAGAGTCAATTTTGGTTGAGAAGAATAGAGAGCGACTGCAATTCCTCTACAGACTGTTTCAATGTTATACATTTCAAGTTTGTCCTTTTCATGAATGTAAGCATTCGATAAAAGTACCTTAATATAATCCACAATCATGATTAAATTTCTTGGAAAGGCCAATTCCGATGAGTAATCTAATCCGAGCACAGGAGTCGATGTTAAATTCAATGGGTTCACTAATAAACCACCTTGCAATGCCAAATCTCTCCAAAGTGTGTGTAATTCTTTGATAAATCCAATCGATCTTTGTAAATGAATGGATAATTTGATGGCAATGTGAATCACTTCATTGACATCGACAGGTGGAGGAATTGGACACAATTCCAAATATTTGCTCCATGGATTTAACGCTTGAATAATAAATGCCTTTCTAGAGTTGATGGCCAATGTAGTGCAAAACTTGAGAGCTTCAGCAAATAAAGCATTACTCCAAAAACTGACTAATCCTGCAACAGCTTCAGAAATTTGAAGCGCATAATCAGTCGTTACAGAATTGGTTCTCATGGCAACATCCAAAATTTCTAAACGACACATGGTAGCGTCTTTCAATTTCAAATCAATTCTTGGTTCCAAATCATCCAAAGTAAAGTTATTTTGAACGAGTGACATGATCATTTCACTTGCTTTGGAGTGAACCGAGTCATATGGATGATGCAAAAGATACAACAAGAGTAACACAATTGGAAGAATATTCTTGTGAATGGTGGTTGCAACAAGGTCATCTTCAGAAAGGAAAGAAGGTGCTCCTTCAAATAATTCTTGACCTTTTAACATGAGCATCCATTCCAAACGGTCATCGTTGGTACAATAATGAGGAGAGAATGCTGTTGGACTTGGTAATAAATTATCATAAATGGCATTCACATAAACTTCAGAAATGGAATCATCGGTTGTTGTGTAAATGACAGAAATAAACTCTGGCAACAAGTGTTCAAAATGATGACATAGTAAGGCGTCTAACATGCGATATCCAGCCAACTCGGCAGAAACAAAGAAACTTTGGAAATCAAAGTTTGTGTTTGCAAAGAGTGTCGTAATTGGATCCACTTTGAGAATACTAGAAATTGCTCTGAAACAAATATGTTTGAGTTTCACAGTCAAAATATTGGCATATTCTCCTCTCCAGTATTCTTTTGCCTTTTCATCTTTCATTCTTTCAACAGTGACTTCTGCAATTTGTTGCATTTGTGGAATTTTGTCTAAACATTCTCTCAAACTGTTGATGGCATGAACACGTGAATCTTCATGCCAAACATTTCCATTTCTCAAATAAAGAGCATTGGTAATTTTAAGTGCTTTTTGTCGAGTGGTTGTGTTTTTCATTGTGTACAATGATTTTGCAACATTGTTTAAAGTAGCAGCATTATTGGCATAGGTGTGGAAAACACAATATAATTGGAATGGATCCTTAATTTTGAGATCCTTTTCTGTGGAAAGAATAGAATAGGATTTTTGAATGAGTTCTGAAACCAATCGAATGGTTTGTGAGAAGATGTTTGGATATTTGAAAAGTTTGGTAAAGCTTTGAGTTTGTGTGAAACTGTTCAAAATTCTTGCGACATCTTTGAGGGCAATAATGACATTGATGGTGACCTTCTTTTCCTTCTTGGAGTCAAGATAGCTTGTCAACATGTCGAGTAATGTAGGAAGAGCTTGATAGTTGAAACATGAACAAATGTTGACAATGGATCGATGATGCCATACTTCATCGGAACACATGAACTTGTCAAAAATGTCAATTTGTTTGAGAGATCCTCTCACGAGCGTCTTGTAATTCTCCAAAGCTGCATACATGTTTTGATCTTCTGGATTTGGTACTCCACACAAGGATACGAGCTGTTTTTTGTGAATGTTATTTTGATAAACATAATTGCATAGATATGGTCAGTGGTGTGAAATTTTTGTAACAATAAATCAATGAAACAAACACATACCAAACACAAAGAATCGGTCCACAATGGAGCAAATCTCTCATCTTCATAGGCCACAGTCGACACTTCACAACAGAAATCTTTCAAAATGGAAATTAATTCTGTATACATTTTACAATTCTGTTCTGCCAATGTTTCTCCAATAAATGCAAGAATGAATGTGTACAACACAGTGGTCGCTGTCTCACTTTGTGAAACGGACACTAGAGTTTCTTTTTCTAATTTCAATAACAAGTCGTCATTCAAAATAAACTCGTCCACGCCCATGGCATCTCGGACTTCAATCTTTCGAATGGATCTTTGAATGATGGATGATTGTTTTTCCACAATGGTTCGATAGCAAAGTCCTGAAACATGTTCATAAAACAAGTTGGACAAGACTTCGAGACATTCCAAAGCACTTAATCGAAGTTGTCGATCCACAAAACACATGCTGATCATGCAACATGCTTCAAGTTTGAAAATCCAAGTGTCAATACTTCGATCAATACCATTCTTATCTTCAGACCAAATCTTTAGGAATTGAATGATATTCTTCATCAAGAATTTGATACTTTTCACTTCACTGAATTGTTTCAAATGATATGCAAACAAATCAGTGGTCTTTCTCAGAATGGATGATCTCAAATTTGGATGTTCACTCATAGTCTCTTGGAAGGCAGAAGAAATGGAAAGTGCAATATTTCGATCTCCACAAATAAGATAATTTCCAACAAAACTCTCCAATCGTTCAAACATTAATAAATCTTCGCTTGCAAAGAGTGGAATGGTAGAAAGTCCATAAATGAGTAACTTGACAAGACCATATCTTTCCTTTTTGAGTTTATCTTCCTTCTTGGATTTCTTTCTTTCATGATGATGGTGATGATGAGGCGAAGAAGAACCAGTTTCATTGGGTTGAGGACTCGTTGGAGGAGGTACTGTTGGATATCTGTTCAAAGTTGCAGAAAAATCTGTCACAGTGGCTGTCTTTCTTCTCATGAGAGGTTTAAAGACATCAGTTTCAGAAGCTCCCTTCTTGGTCATCTTTCGAACACGTGGTGAGACTGGAGTTGAGAAATTGGTTGAGGATGAATTGAGATGATGATCGGCGTCAGTAATTAAACTCATATCTCGATCAGTCACAGCTCCAGAAGATCCAAAACTATAATTATCACCGATTTCTGTTGGTTTTTCTGAAATGGGTTTGATCATGATAGATTCAGATTCGCCATCACTTTCATCTTGAACAAAGATCATGGTTTTTTCTGGTCGAATGACATGATATTCGACATCGGTATATTGTAAAATAGAAATGTCCATTCGTTCTGAACAATGTTCAATAATTTTCTTCAAATAGGAATATTCCATTCGAATCGAGTTCAATAAATTCGCATAGGTAGGTTGTCTCTTAATGGAATCCATTTCAGATTCACATGCCAATACATCAATATTGAAACTATCTTTGGTATTGTTGTGCATGATCTTTAGAACTCTCATGGCGACCACAGAGAATAAACTATTCTTTTGGAATTCACGTTGTAAGAATTTTCTAATAATTCCTTCCTTTCCTAGAACAATGTCAACATCATAGGAAGCCAATCTCATCACAAGAAGTGTCAATAAGAATGAAGTGTCATCGAAATCTTCGGCTTCAACGGTCACATTCATCTTGGTCAAGAATGTAATCACAGCCGATGCAACCTGAGCCATCACTTCTCGATACTTATTCTTTGACGTTTGATCTTCAGTAAAGTACGCAAGATTCTTATCTGCTTCTGAATAGACCACATCGACGAATGGTTTGTATTTGAGTAATAGATTTTGATAGGGACCTCTGATAAAACTATAAGGACTCATATTTCGATCAACATTGTACTTGTCTTTCATCAAGACACACAAAGCATAAAGAGATTGATTGAATAATTCAATTTGATCCTTCTTCTTTTGTGCAAATTCAACCACTTCACTCACTACTTTTGCAGCGTGGCCATTATGGAAAGCAAAACCTGCATGCTTGACAATGAGTGACTTTAAAATCATGCATTCACCTTTTGAGGATCCTTTTTGACCAATTTTTGACTTTTCAAACACATTTGCAATGTCATAAATTTTCAAATTGAATTCCTCCAATAAATTACAATTTTCCTCCAATTCAAAGTCTAATTGTAAATAAATCGTTTGCAACACTCGTAGTAATGCATTTCTCAGAGAAATGGATGTTTTCACAATCTTGTCCTTCTCTGCCAAGCTCACTAACGATTCAAGCAAGTCACGAGTGGAAATGGCATTTTCCGACAAATCAATATCCACATATTTCATGATATTCATGTAGCATTTGGCAAGTCCCTTATCGGTCTTGGAATTCATTTTGACCATAAAGAAGGAACACACTTCAGAAAGATTCTTTCGACTCAATCTTCGAATCACAAAGGCCCATTGATCAATGATTCCATCTTGCATTTGCTTCCAAATGGAATACAATTTGGCATTGGAATATGTGTCATAGATCACAACTGTGAAACAGTAACGTAACATGCTTTCGGTCACATGGGCATCCACCACACTTGGATTGTAACTTTTTAAAATCACACACAACACATCGCTTGCAGTGAGCCAAATCAAGATATCCAGTGATTGCAACAAGACGCTAGATTTCTCGTCACCTGTCAAATTAAATTGTTGCATCAAACGAGCTCTAAATTTGACATAGGACCATTCAGGAATGCCCACTTCATTAGTACTCGAAGGTTGTTGCAGCCAATCCAGAATCAATTGACAATACAATTGACAATTCTTTTCAAAAGTTGTATCTTTGAATAATTTCAAATGTTTCAAATAATTTTCACTCGTCCTAAATTGGAATAACAATGAAAAATTAAAATCATCTCGTTTCTTCTCCTTTGCATCATTCAAAATTTGTGGTGGAATCATTTTCACACTCTCCACAAATTCCTTCTCGACAAATTGTTGAAATTCCATCAAAATACTTGCAGCCACTGAAACGACAAATCCCTTCTCATTCACTTGAAACAAGTATTTACTTTGTTGTTCCAATTCATCGCCCAATCTCAATGAACGTTTTGCTAAATTCATTCCTCCTCCTCCTCCTCCAGAAGAAAGTTCTCCATTGCTTCGTCCCGATTGATTACCAGCTGCAGCCGGAGTTAAAGAACCTCCTCCTCCTGAACGAGAAGAATTACTATTCGATGAATGATGTGGATTCAATTGAGGAGTCGAAGGTTGTTTCGGAGAAGAACTGACTGTAATTCCATATTGAGGTAAACTTGTCGACGACGACATGGGAGTGATGTTGTTGTTGTTGGTCGTGGAGGATGATGACGACAATGGAAGATCAAGTTTTGGAATGGGAGGAACGACCACTGGAATGGGAATACCTTGTGATGGCATGGAACGTTCTGGCATTCTGTTGGAATTGGGAGTGGACATCTGATGTTGGAAATCAATTGGGAAATATGTAATTATAATTATTATGATGATTGTTGTTGTTGAGATGTTAAAGAGAGAGGAGAATTCACATCAGAAAATCAACAATTCAAGATCATCATCATGATGATTTGACAAATTTGGTTAATTTCAAAAAGAGAGAATAAAACATTGATCTTTTTCAACAACAAGTCATAGAACAAAATACAAACCTCACTTCCACTATAACTATATTCCTCAGAATCAGAAGTCACTTGTGGTGTTGTACTCACGAGTTGACGTGGTTGTTGTTGCTGTTGATCATCTTCTTCCATCATGGAGGTGTGAACTGGGCCAGGAGGAAGAGGAATGGAATCTTCATCGTCAGAGTCACCTCCCGAAGTTGGAGAATGGACAGGTGGTGGAGGTGGTTGTGAGGACATTAGAGTTCTTTTAGAAGAGGAAAAGGAGATGGTTGATGCTGTTGTTGGTGTAGTTTTTTAGGAGTGTTTGCTGAAGGCGATTTGGAAAAAAATAATTCAGGTTACCGTTACAAGAAAAGGGCTTGACAAGTGACAGATGGTTCCAATCATTCATCAACGAGGAAAGTGAAAAAAGCAAGGTTACTTTTCAAATCAGACACCCACAAGAGGTTCCTAAACAACACTATGCTCTCGCCACAGGTTAGAAACCAAGCTCAATAAATTTGATAACATGTATTAACAACAAGGTTTGTTTAATGAATCCTCCAATCAAATAGTTGATATACACAAGAGTCTTGTTAAAACACAATATTCGAGAATAAAAATCCCTCTTAACCTCAAAATACCCTCAATGGTTATTAAAATTTACAAAGTAAAACTCTCTGTGATGGAGAAGGAATCAATCATAATAAGTTTCAAAAACTGTAATATATACAATGAGAAGTTCAATAATAATAACAACAACTGGTAATTACTGAACTAGAATCGTTAAATAATTTACAAATAAGATGTCGGTTGGAAATAGATTGAAATTCAAATGATCATCTTCTCTCTAGTCTTTCAAAGCCAAGACTTGTCCTCCGTATACCATTTCATCATGATGATGAACATTGGTACTCTTCATGATGATGAGAGGAGTGGGAGCAGTACTGGTGGAGGTTGAGCCTGCAACTGCTGAACTTGCACTCTTCATCATCACGGAAGTAGAGGCTCCTCCATCAGCCATAATTTCCTGCTCGGTTGCAACGTTGAGAAGATCCAACACAGAGTTATGTTCATAGTTGGACCAAATGGTGAGTGGAGGTGCTTGATTGTAGAGACGGAAGGTGGCGGAGGCTGAATCAGAACGCATACGGGATGATCCCGAGTGGAGTGGGCTCGAGTTGTTGTTCTGATGATGTTGTTTGAATTTGTTGTTAGAAGTATGATAGAGAATTAGGACTTTTTCGTACATGATGATGAGGTGTGTTATTACAAGATGTAACGGTTAGAATAATCTGATGGAAGTATGATACAATAGGAACACAGTGCAGCTTTTGAACAGCAAAGTGCGCAATATGTGATGGTGGTGGTGTGTTAGGATACAAGTACGGACAACACCCAAATGCAACAATCGATGGTAGTTCTTGATCACAACAATCTCTGGGGGAGAATCTCTCTGATATTTGTTTGATTTTGTAAAAACACAAACCGCAACATGCCCCACGAGAGGTCTTGTATTTTTAGAGTGCATCCATCAACTTTCTGTATTTTACTAAGGAAATTTTCAATTACGATTTCATGTTCGTGACGGCTCAAACCAAAGGTGCTGCAAGAATTCTCAAACTACACCTGGCCCTTGACACAATTATTCACAAGCTGATTTACCAGAGCTTGTGGTGGTCCTTCCAGAATGTAGGTCACTGAAAAGATTGACACTGCTAGCTTTTGCACCTGCTGCTTTAAATTTCATGGCTGCTGACGTGGCCTGTCGAGCTAACTTAAAAAGTTGAATATTAGAGCGTTGCGAATCCAAGACGTTCAACTTCTTTGGCTCTTGACCATTTCTAGCTGATGAGGTTTTTTCTTTTGTTTGAATTTCCATTCGTGTCCTCTTGAAACATTGTTCAAACAGTGAATGCAATTCATTCTTGGAGAGCAGTGGGGAAAGCTTGGGTTTAAAATCTTGGAACATGGCTGCTGTAGATTTGCTGTCTTTTTTCATGAGCTGACTTTCTTTTTCGAAAATCCTCATCTTTCGAACGTGCTCAATTCTGCGTTCTTCGTAGTAATTGTTGACAACCTCTTCTTTCAATTCACTGAGTTTGTTTCCAATTATACATGGATAATTCAATGTGCACACATCATCATTATTTGACATTAGTCTTCATTCAGAATGGATAGTTTGAAACACTTACATTGAGATCTTTTTGATTTCCTCTTTTTGTGCAACGAGGTCGAATAATACTTTCGAGTTTTGAACGCCCAATGTCGCCGAGGACATCATCTTGTTTAGGGCATGGCTCGAAGTGTCGTTTTTAACTCCTTTTCGTCCATTTCCCTTGTTGATCTCCTTCTCGAGAGACGCAATTTTCTTCTCAATGTACTTGCCAAGCTGGGCCACGTGCAGAATTTTTTGACACTTCTTCATGACGACATAACTCCTCCACGTTCGTTGGACCTTAATCACTGCATTCTTGAACTTGGACACTGCGAGAGGAATTCTAAACGTTTCTGCTAAATCTGTGAGGAATTTTGAAATGAGTTGAATCGATTCGTACTTCTTTTGTTCTCGCCATCTTCTCACTCCTCGTCCTATGAGTGCTTTGATTCTCTCCAAATGGGACGCGTACCTCTCTTTGAAAAGTACGTTAAATACTTTAATTTTCTTTTCATAATCTGCGTCTTGTGCGTCTACTTCAACTGGTTTACTTGCTTCTTCCAATGCCTTCTTTTCTTGAGCTTGTTTGTATTCATACGCTTTGCTTATTGTATCCTTGATTACATATAGATAATGAATGATGGTGACAATGGTTTTCCAATTGGTATAAAGGGACATGTTTTGTCGTTGCATGTTGCGAATTTCTTCTCTCTGTTTGTTCGTATTGGAAATAACAAGTAAGAGCCGTATGAAGCTGTGCAAACAAATGTCGCTCTACTTACCATTTCACGTTCACGTATTAATTCTTCTGTTTTGTGTTTCTTTTCTAAAATATTGCTAATGTTAATTTCTCGCGCTGTTTTGATCTTTTCTTCTCGAAGCATGGAGGCCTCTGCTCGTTTCTCATCCAGGGCTTCTCTTGTCATTTTGCTCGCCAGTTCCTTATTTTGCTCAATGACGTCCTTACCATAGGCTCTCTTCATGTCTTCCATCTTTTTCCTTTTCAATAATTTAATTTCTTGAATATGATTTTGCATATTCTTCTTGTTTGCATTTTCTTTAAAGAGGTATATTTTTCGTTTAAGATCGTCCTCAATTTCTCTCATAGAGCTCTTTTTTACATCGATTGAGGAAATTTTTTCAATAAACGACGATGTCGAAGTCATTCCAAACTCTTTCCAGCTGTTGTCTAAAGAGTCAAATTTTTCTTCAGCATCAAGTAATTGTTTTTTGTACAGTTCAAAAGAGGTGCTTGGTCTTTGATTTTTAGACTCTGCCAAGCTCGTTCGATTCTTTAACATGTATCTGTTTCTGGATTGCTTTTTTCGAATAATGCTTTCTGCACTGTCCTCCTCGATGTCGTTAGAAGCATTATTCCCTGACTTGCTATTTCTAGAGCCGTTCGAAGATCGAATAGGAGCCAAGTCCGTTATGAACGCTCGCGACTTGCGATGTTGAAGGAGATTATATACATTGGGAGGATTGTTCATGAGGTCTTGTTCCAAAGTTCTATTCCACCGTTGAAATTTAAAGTTTTCATATTTTGTCAAATCGCTCAGGGAGGTGTCAATTCGTTCTTCGAACCAATCAACATGACTTCCTGCATCAACAGTGGATCCATTGGGTGATGAAGGAGGTTGGGATGATAGTCTAGGGGTGTGAATCGGAGGTGTTGAGAATGCATTTAAATTACTGGTAGAATTGAGGGAAATGAAAGTATCGGATTTGAGGCTGACCGTCTTATTCGTTCGTGATGAAGATAGCTTGGGAAAATTGAGGTCAATCTTTTCGACTGGTCGTCCAATGGTCGCTGTTGGTGTTTTAATTCTCATTGCTGAAAAATCTGGAGTTTCTGGAGGTGGTGTTGGCCCTACATATCGTGGGCTCACGGAAGGTTGTTTGCTGCTGATCAAATTAAGGTTAATGTTTTGGAAAGGTGGTCGTTTGGACTTGTATAAATCCTCTAAAGGAGAGGCCGGGATAGATGTAGCAGCAATACTTGAACTTTCACTACTACAACTTGATCCCAAGTCTATGGATGGTTTTTTTGTTTGTTTCTTATTCATGCTGCTTCATGAGTGATAAAGATGATGATTAATTATAATGACACGCTTATTGAGATGGTTCCGAATGAGCAATGATTTTTTGAAAGTTATTACAAGTCCAATTCCGAATCGTTTGAAGATATTTAAATGTTCTACGAGCGGCTGTTGTTGCTGTCGTTGATTTACGGGATGATGGCTGATAATTAATGGTTGCAATTTTTTGAAATGACTGCAGTTGGTGGTTCATGAAAAAGGCGCGAAAAAAAACCATCGTCAAAAACATCTCTTTGAATTTGTTATGGACATTTTGAGATTCAAAAAGATTGATTTGTTTACGATCCTGTTGTTAAAAGGAAATAAAAGTTGAAACCACACAACTCGGAAACAAGCAAAAAAATGAAACCACTGAGTACTCAACTGATTCTATTTTTTGCATTGATTTTAATCTCATCACTCAGTGTGATGGCCTTTTCTGAAGATACAATGTTATCGACTCTCTCGAATCCGAGTAGTAGCAGTTCTATCACTTCAACAAATGTAAATAACGAGCAAGTCACGAAAAGAGATTTAGCATCATCATCGGCCTCAAACGAAAAACATGAAAGAATACCCGATATGGAAATATTTGAAAAGGCATATAGAAAATGTATATCGGAATGTAGTCAAGTTGCAGATGTTTGCAACAAGGCATGTAATTTATTAAAATTGAGAGAGGATAATCGATTGACAAGTAAGTTTGGGGTCCACAGCATGTTTATCATTTCGAATTTGTTGATCATGCTTTTAACACCATCACGTTATGAAATGATAAATGAAAATTTAAACCTTCCAACGAATTTATTGATCATGTCGACACCTTGAATCATGTCGACTACACCTAATAACAATAATTATTGAAAATTATTTAGATTTCCAAAATATTATTTTACAATACAAGAAAAATAACCGAATCAATCCAGCACAGGCCTTTTTGCAAGATTTAAAAGATGCCACTATTCTTAAGAGAAAATAATTTATTATTTGAATGTCACCTAAGAACAACAGTATCAAAACAAGATTTAGATTCAAAAAATCAATTTTTTTAATTTACAAATAGTTTGATTCTTCTCTCTACATGGAATTAAAAATGATAACATTTCCGTCATCACCAGCTGTACACAGATAATGTGGCTCCATTGCCAAAATACAGTTGCATGATGAGGTTGCCTCACTTGCTCCCACACCATACATACAAACTCCATGATTGGTCAGGTCGCTCACAAGGACCCAACCATTGGCAGCACAGCTCAATAACAAGTCATCCACCACTTGTAATTGTGTAATCACGTCAACATGATCCTTAATAGAAATGACCTGAGCATAATTCTTTCTTGGATCCAAAACTCGAATCGTCTTGTCGCTTCCTCCCACGACCAACATGTTCTCATTCGCTAACTTCATATCGTTAATACTACCTCGGATGACATTTTCTGCTCCTCCGATATTATTGGCCGTCCTCAGATCCCATATTTGCACAGAGCCATCCATGCCTCCACTCAAAATTGTATCTCTGCTTTCATCAGACACCAAGCACTGTACCGGTGCCTTATGTTCATCTCCCACTGATATTAAATCTCCAGATTGTACGTCCCACATGCATACCAAACCATCTCTTCCACCGCTGCATATCAGAGAATTATTCCACAAAAATGTTTTAATGGCCTTATCGTGACCGAGTTTCGAATTAATCAGTGTGTTCATGCATGTATTATTTTGCAAATTCCAAATTTTCAATGATTTGTCATAACTCGAAGAGATTGCCACTGGAAGATTGGGCGAGCACGACACTTGAGAAATACTTCCCGAGTGTCCCAGTAAATCCACACACTTCACTGGACCTTTACTTTCCCAAACACATAATTTACTATCCATTCCTCCAGTGATGATTTTTCCAGTGCAGTCGCTGTAGGCGAGTGCCGTGACCCATTCTTTATGACCATATGCCTTGGTATACAACTCTCGTTCTACTTTTGCTTTTGAGACCTTAATGACTTTTGCCGAATGGTCTTGTGAGCCTGTAATGATGGTGTCATCATCCTTCTTGATCATGATGTTAATGGGCCTTCCGTGCGCACTTACAAGCTTGTCGTCGTCTGGACCTTCTCCACTCCAGTAATCACGAAATGACATTTGTATTTTTTTTTGAAAAATTTTGTAGGTTTTTGGCGGGGGGTGGGTGCCGTGATAGTGATTGTCATGAAAAACACTTGCAATCCATGGTAAGTAGTGGGTGGATTGAGACTGGTCTAACGAGCAAGACTAGGTGTTGTGTTGCCACTTGATTCGTGCTTTACATTCCATCACACAGACGGATTTTTGAACATCAACATGAACCAGGTATCATTGAAAGCACTCCAATCTCGTTGTATGCTGGCAACAAAATGCAAGGTCGCTCACTTTGAGGTGAAATCGCTCTCTTATTTTTCTCCTTGTTGTTTTTGGGGTTTGAAACATGAGAGTTGCATTTGAAAATTAACGTTGGGCTGAGAAAAAGTGTGACATTCTTTCACATAGTCAAATGCTTGTTGAAAGTTGAGATTCAACTCTCGCATCACGTATGCAATGACTATGGACACGCTTCTTGATTGACCAGCTACACAGTGTACAATAACAGGAACTTGTTTTTCTTTTCTTGCCTCATCGATAAATTGAAAACAATCATCCAGAATGGCAATAATGTCTTGATGACTATCATCGAGCACCTCTAAATTGAGAACTCGGTCAAAGAATTCTTCATATTTTTTCCCTTTAAATCCTTGCTCTGGTTCCATGACAAAACTTGAAACATTGAGGACATATCTTACATTCAGCACGTCACATAGTAAATGTACATTTCTAGCTGATGACATGGAGCCCACATAGAGATTATCTAGAATTTTGCTTGGCTATGTGAATGCCCCAAGTATACATCATTCATGAAAATAGTGTTGTTACAAAATGACACCATCATAACCCATAATGAGCGTAGCGTATGATAGGACAAGTCAAAAGTAATGGATTTTGAAAATTTGGTACATTTGTTCCAAAATTTGCCATATTTCGCAGCTCGAATAACTTACAATGGTATTTCTGAGGTCAAATAAGGTATTATGATTGAGTGCAACAAATTTGCTTGTGGTTTTAGACTTTGGTTTGGAATATTCGGAATCGCTTAGAGCTTCGTCAGCCTCATACAAAAATTCCTTTGGTAGTTCACTAATACAATTGAATCGAATGTCAAATTTAATTCCCTTCTTTTGGAGTAGCGTAATTAGCTCAAGAGAAGGAAATTGTGAAATGTAATTCCATGAGAGATCAATTTCAATGAGCGATTTGGGTAGAATTTTTTCTAGTTCTTTCACGCGAGTAGAGTCATTTAAATAATCGCCATGTACAAGTTCCTTAATTTTGTTATTTGCAAAACTAATCTCTCGCAAATAGGGAAGTGATTTAAAATAAAAAATAATGTCCACAGTTTCTAAATAACCCCAGATAGATTCAATATCCGAAGGCATTTGGAAAGAGTGTTTTTGAAAAAGTCCATAGAAAAAGGTACCTCCTTAATTGCCTCACACAAGAGAACATTCAGTTCTCCAACTAATTTACCTTGATATTGATTTTCAATATCTTGAATATCTGATAACGTGAGAGCCTTCTCTCGTTCAATGATGTTTTCTGCATCATCGGGTAGTGAAAGAGATGGTAATGATCTGTCTGAATTCTCTTCATCTTCTGCAAAATAATCAATGCTTGATGGCAGCAAAGCAGATCTGGGCTGGGATGATTCATGGAAATTTCCATTTTCATCCATATCTTCATCATCACCTAACGAGTCATGTCCTAGACTGCTCGGAGGACAAATATTCAACACCATTTCCTTTTTCCTTTTCGATTTAGCATTCTTCATAAGTTTACGATTGGGTTTGGAAATTGTGGAACGTGATGTTGTTGTTGGTTGTACATAATCATCATCATCTTCGGTTTGTTGTTGTGAATTTTTATTCGGGTTGGAAGTATGATTGGATGACGAAGAGGGAGAAGAGGGTGATGATGATGGCGACGCTCGATGATGACTACTAGTAATGCTGAGATTATTGATATCAAGGGATGCTCGTCGTTTTTTCATATTTTTTTGGGAAATTGACGAATAACGGCTTTTCATAGAGGGAACATCTCTTTTCAGGCTAGCAATGAGCAAATCACTTTGAATCATCAATGCACTGAATTATGATTATTATGAAAACATTGTTGAATTTTGAGTGGTTAGTTTGAAAAATCACGTAACCTTGATTGAACATTTCATCATGGTCATGATGTACTTACATAACTTTTCCAAACAAAAAATTCAAACAACCCAATTCTCGTGTCTCCCTCATCAAGACGATCGGTCGGAACAACAAGTCAACAACAGTTCTTGTCCTGAAACCTAGCTCATCATACATTCCATATAAAAATTCATTCCTTTTGAAAGTAGAGAGTTCATCATAGAGAACGTACGGAATACAATAATTTCATAATTTACAAAACTACACGGAAAATGATGAAAAGTAAAAGCACGGGATCATTGGATCCACAACATGCAAAAACGTTGGATTCAATTACCGTTCATGCCTGTACTTGGAATGTAGCCTCACAGGTTCCTAACAAAGCCTATCTCCACAAGTATTTTCGGAGAGTCTTCATGGGTAACGAAAATGACGAAGGCAATCACGTGCCTGACATTATCGTGTTGGGATTTCAAGAAATTGAAATGAATGCAAAAGCTCTCCTTACAGAACAGACAGAGGCGGCAACAGTTTGGCGATCCGTGCTCTCTGAAGTTTTCCCCGAGTACGACTGTATAGCATGTCACCAATTGGTAGGCTTGTGCATTTTCGTGTGGGTTCAATTCAAGCTTGCAAGGCACTGTTCACCATGCATGGTGAGCGAAGTGAGAGAGGGGTTTTCGAGAACATTGGGAAATAAGGGTGCTGTCTCTGTACGATTCAAGCTATTTGGAAAACAGTACGTTTTTTTTTGTGGTGTGTAATAACGTGGTATAATGTTGGCATGTGTGATAATGATCATCATGTTGAAACAACGGTGGGATGATCTTGACATGATCATGATGTTGAAACAACGATCTTTTTATTCGGCCGAATTTCAAACACCTCAATCAAACATTCTATGGAAAAACGATTATATTGACAAAATTGTTAATGTATGGTAATATCATCACTCAGACTCAATTTTATTAATGTTCACTTACCCGCTCACACTGAAAAGCTATTGGAAAGAAACGAAGCTCTGAATTCAATTATTAATAAGGCAGTGAATGATCCCACCCTCATTCACACAAGTTCATTGCAATTTCATCATAGCAATAGTAACAAGGTCAGCATTACGACCAAAGATGATTTTGTCATTATCATTGGAGATTTTAATTATCGAATTGACTCACATTTTAACTTTACTGAGGTGATTACGAAAATTTCACAACATCGACTTTCAATTCTTTACAAGTGTGACCAATTACAAAAAGAAAAGCAGCTAGGTAGAATTTTGAAAGGCTACAATGAGGCAGGGCCACTAGAATTTATCCCTACATACAAGTGTAAAAGCTATGAACCACACGAACAAGCACAAATTGATCTAAGTGATATTTCCAACATTTTCAGTACAAAGAAGGATCGAATTCCTTCGTGGTGTGACAGAATCTTTTTCAAGAGCAATCCTAACATTGTGGTTCACGAGTACACTTCTCATATTCACGTTTGTGCCAGTGACCACAAACCAGTGACAGCTAAAATGACATTGTGGTTCAATAATGAAATGTTAGCCAATTCACAAACCTCCCAGAAAGTGGAAAGTGTTGATGATTTATTGAACTTTGATGAACCATTATCTGCAAGTCCTTCCCTAGAGTCCATCTCTTCCTCGACCTCTACGGCCGTTAATGTTCCAACAACCACTGAAGTCAGCACCCATGCACCTCGAAAACTTCCTCCATTGCCAAAACATTTATTGGATGCTAAAAAGAAGGTAGAAGGCTCCACACCAACAACGGAAAACCGCTGGCCAGAGAAAATTGGATTTACCAATTCCACACCAATTGGAGAAGAACGGCCCCAGCAGCCATTACAACACGATGATGTTTGGGGGTTCTTTGAGAGTGAAGGCAACAACAACAACTCGGGCACAACCACCATGCAATTTTCGAACGTAACAACCATCCCAATCCCATCTCCGTCACAACCTCTCCAGCAACGAAATTCATTTGACACCACGTCAACAACAAGTATATCAAAGAGTTCAAGTAGTGATGGATTTGCGGCTCTTGCTTTGCGACACTCCTCAAAGAGTGCTTCCCTTAATGTCTCCTCCAACCCGACCCCGACGACGACCATTTCTTCCCATCCACCAAGTAGTACCACCTCTTCTTCAACTACTCGATCCAATCATAATAACTCTCGCTCCTCATCACCAACCATGAGACCTCAAACGATTGATCGTTTGGATCTTTATTCTGGGCTCAACAATCCATATCACCAACAACAACAACGAAATAACAATGACCACAATACCAATTTTCAATTGACAAACAATGTTACAACAACAACAACCCAATCTCAAAACAATGATGGAGATTGGTGGTTAAATTAATTGATTCACAACAAAACCATTGATTGTATTACGGAAGGCACGGAAAACCAAGACAAAAAATTACAAAAAAAAATTGCCATACACCAGCAGCAATACAACTTTATTCCAATCATCACCCTACAGTCATCATCGGTATCATCATTTATACAACAACAATAAATCATGTCTAAAGGAGCATCTCTCAATTTCAAACAACATGATTTGACTTCATACCTCAAATCAGGATCCACACACTACTCTGGACTCAATGCCGTTACTCTTCGAAACATTGAAGCCTGCCAAAATTTGAGCAAGATTGTTAGAACATCCATGGGTCCAAACGGAATGAATAAGATTGTAGTGAATCATTTAGAAAAACTCTTCATTTCAAAAGATACGGCTACCATTCTCAAAGAATTGGAAGTCATCCATCCTGCAGCCAAGATTGTCGTATTGGCCACTCAAGCACAAGAACAAGAAGCCGGTGATGGTACTAACTTTGTCGCATGTTTCACTGGTGAATTGTTGGCTCAATCCGAAAATCTAATCCGTATGGGACTTCACATTCCTGATATCATTCTCGGATACAAAAAGGCTGGTTTAAAGGCACTAGAAATTTTAGAAACTCTCGGAGTGGATAAAGTCACTGATATTAGAAACGTCGAACAGGTAACAAGAGCTATTCGTTCCGCTGTTGGAAGTAAAGTTTTAGGAATGGATGATTTCTTGGCTCCACTCATCGCAGAGGCTTGTGTGGCTGTATGTCCAAAAGTTGCCACTCGCTTCTCTGTTGAGAATATTAGAACTGCTAAAATTCCAGGTGGAAGTGTGTTTGATTCAAAGGTTTTGAAGGGATTCGCATTTGTTAGAGATTCCGAGGGATCCATCAAGCATGCCAAACACTGCAAAGTTGCCGTGTATACTTGTAATATTGAACAAGCATCCACAGAGACCAAGAATAGTGTGGTCATTAGAAGTTCAGAAGAACTTTTAAATTACAATGTTTCTGAAGAAAAAGCCATGGAGGAAGAAATCAAAGCCATTCATGATACAGGCGTCAAGGTTATTGTATCACAGGGAGGTTTTGGCGAAATGGCTCTTCACTTTATTGAACAATATGGTATGATGGCTATCAAGTGTCCATCCAAGTTCCAAATTCAAAGACTGTGTCAAGCCATTGGTGCCAAAATGTTGGTCAAGGTTCAACCACCCACTGCTGACGATATGGGAACTTGCGCTTCTGTAGATATTACTGAAATTGGTGACAAGAAGGTTGCAGTTTTCCAACAAGCTGAAGATGTAGACATTTCGGGAATTACCACCATTATTATTCGTGGTGCAACACAAAACGTAATGGATGAAGTGGAACGTGCTGTCGATGATGGTGTCAATGCTTTCAAATCATTGACCAAGGATGATCGACTTTTGGCAGGTGCAGGTGCTTGTGAAGTCGAGTTGTATTCTCAACTTTCTAAATATGCCGATGAAACTCCTGGTTTAGAACAATATGCCATTCGTAAATGTGCTGAAGCATTTCTTGTGGTGCCAAGAACACTTTCTGAAAGTGCAGGCCTAGATTCCTCTGTTGCCATTTCTAATTTAACTGCTGCTCATGCAGAAGGAAAGTCTACCTGGGGTATTGATGTGCATAGTGTGACTGGTTTGGATGCTAAGGAATCTGATATCTTTGACCTTTTCAACACCAAATATTGGGGTATCAAACTTTCCACCGATGCAGCTGTTAATATTTTGAGTGTGGATCAAATTATTATGGCTAGACCAGCTGGAGGACCTGTTGGAAAGAATCCCAATCCAACTCATTGGGACGAACAAGGGGAAGGTCTCTAATTTTTATATAATACATTGCCAATTATTTATTGAACTGCGTTTCATATTTTTTGGATTGTAAATTCAGTCAGATGTATTTTCATTATGATTCCCAAAGATACAACCGATCGGTTGTGACCTCCATCAAAGCCGCACAATCATCTTCTTTAAACTGTATGATTGTTAGTAACATGGAATTTGGTGGGGTCTTCTCTCATGCTCTCTTAATTGTAACTGTAATTTCAAAACTCCGATTCATTACAAAAAAAATGTCAACGCTTCTTCCCAAGTCTTCCATCATGCAGGTCCATCTTGGTTTCCTACTCATCTTCATTGCGTCGTGTTTCTTTCTTTTCTTTTCATCCATCAGTCACATCCAAACAGTTCTCTCACAACAACCAAATTTCCATGTCATGAAAATTCATTCTCACAAAAATCCAATCCGATCATCTGCTTCATCGGAGAATGATTTGTGTTATGGATGTTTATTGCTGGCTCAAGTGTTGGATAGTTTTATTACATCGAATATTACTGCTCAAGAAGTGATTAAATTGGCCACAAAAATTGTAAGTGGATCGATGTATTTTGTGGAATGATTGTTTCACAAATGATGATTTTCATCTATGTGATCAAAAAATCGAATACGAAATTTCAAAATAATTTCATTATAATTTTTCTTGAATGACATTATGGCTGATGATTTTTGGTAACTCCATCACAGTGTCCCTATCTACAACCTGAAATTCAACCAGTGTGTCCACTCTTGGTAAAACAAATGACACCTGAAATTTTGGAAATTCTTGTCACACGAGAGAATCCACATGTTTTGTGTCAACAACTTGGAGCTTGTAAGAATGACACTGCTCTTGTTGAAAACTTGCCAAAGAAGAATTAAAATCATTATAGTCTCATGAGCTCACTTTGGATTTTTCACAAAAATTCTTTTTCACACTCACTGCAATCGAACAAAATCTCCAAGAATTTCCTTCTCATTCACTTCCAATGGTTGAGTGGTATCAATCGTAAAGGTATCTTTGGCGTCAACATTCTCCGAATCATGAATTGGAATTCTGACCAAATTCAAAGCATTGGCCAACATTTTTGCTTTGAGACCATAATTCTTTGACAACACCAACGATTGATTGACACCTGCAAGATCTGGCATTAAATTCACTTCCAACAAATGAGGATGCATCCTGTCATCAATGAGAATGTCATAACCATACAATTGAAAACATTTGTGACGACATTGATGAAATAATTCATCTTGTTTTTCAGGATTTAAAATGGTAGCATGAATCGACTGTAACACAAGTTCATCTAATCGGCGCCATAATGCATCCCATTCATCTTGCTGAGGAAAATGTTCTTTCAAATCTGACAAGTACATGTTGCAGAAAAATCCAAACTTTTCAATAATGGTTTCGTTTTGAATCTTATTCTTCTTGTCATTGACAGAGTTGTTGGTAATATGCATGAAATGATTGTTGAGATTGTCTTTGGAGAGTGTGTAATCTTCTGAGGCAAATCTTACAATACCGTCTCGATAGAAATAAATTCGATCCCTTTCATCATAATGCCTTTTTCCAACCACCAACACGTACATTCTCAAATCGAACTTTTTGTTATGAATCAAGAGTGGATTGGAAATGTATTTGGACACGACAATTTTCTTATTCTTGATTTGTTTCTTGATGTGTTCATCCACAACCGTGTCATCATGGTTATTTGAAAGAGCCACTTCAGAAAATTCATTTTGAATGACTTGTTGATAGGATGGATAAATAGTGATGCCACGACCTTCTCCCGATCGATGAGGTTTAACAATCCAAAATTGATGATCATGTTTTAGATGGGAATGATTTTCTTGAAATAAAACCTCTTCTTTTGCATAATGTAAAAACAATTCCAATTGTTGAGGTAAATAAAACGATGGAGGTACATATTTCGATGTAAATTCCACTGTTTCTGTAAGCTCCAACTTGTTCACTTTCTGAAAATTAAGAGCCATCAATGATTTGTTACACAATTCATGACTATTTGGAAATTGATTAATCAATGTGTATGAAGGTAATTCATTCCATTTCACAATATTATATCTCGGAAAAGTATGTCCCCAAAAAACTGCCAAATAATGAGTCGATTCATCCATCACTGATGAAACCAAAATAAAACCATTTCCTTCAAATGTTTTTCGTAGAGCTGATTCTTTTAATTTTAATTCTTTTGCCTTTGAAATCCAATAACATAATTGACGACGTTGTGTTGGCAATTGTTCTGTACTTGTTTCTTCCTGTTCTTGTTCGGAAAGGACATGTTCTGAATTTTCTAAATAAATATATTGAGATTTTAATTCATCATCATGATGATGATTCCGAAAAGTTTCTGACAAAGAACCATCCATTGCTCCTTCTTCCTCCTTCCTGTTCATTATTCTCATTCGATAATTTAAAGTATATTCCAATAATTGTTGGCTTCGTTCTTTAACCGATTGTAAATCCAAGCCTTCATCCAACACATGTTCCTAAGGACATGATGTTCCACGTTTACAAAATCCATTCCGACGAAAATGCCAACAAATTCCCTTGTTTTTTTGAATGCAGTGAAAGTATTTGGCAGTGAGGATGGTGTTTGAATGTTCGTTTGGTTGCGTCATTTTTTAAATTTCCTTTTTTTGTTTTGTAATTTTTCAACTTTGTCTTTAATATATTTGAGATGCAATATATTAAATTATTAAATTTCAAAAACATTTCTATAACATGTTTTATTTTCAATTTTATGCACGGAGTTTTAGCTTGATCAATTTTTGTTGATGGATAAATTTCGAGAATTGTGTTGCCTTTTGTGATACAAATGTCACTCGTCAACAAGTAGCTTTTACAAAGTCATCTTGTCAAAAACAGAAACACCCTCTCTCACTTCGTCATCCTCTTCTAAAGCCAATTCTGTGCTCGTGTTTCCTTCTATTCTCAACACTCTGGTTCATCCGATATTAAAAAACAAATATTTTGACAACTGGCATTCATGCTCCCATCCCTCTCTTTTCTCGTTCATTCATTTTAAAAAGTCATTGATCATCAACTAACCAAACAAAAATATGGGAATTGGATCCTCGCATCGCAGTGAACGTGATGCGTCACTTGCCAACATTCCGTATCAATCTTCATTGACTTCTCATATCATGGAAACGAAACGTAAAAACAATAGTGGAAATTCATTGAATACTTTGATTCATCCGTCAACAACAACATCAGCATCATCAACAATACCTACAGACATGTCTCCGAATCATCAATTACCAAATTTGGAAAATTCAATAGTACAAGAAAAAAATCATTCTTCATTATTACAGCATTCTCATCATCACGATTCCATATTACAATTTATTGAAATTCCAAATCGAGACACTCTTCAACATTTCACAGATTATTATTATTCCATGTGCGTGCCCAACGATTGGAGAGTTGAAGTTTATGGTCCAACGACGAATGCAAGTCGAGGAGGTGGAATTGTCATTAGTGGAACAAGTACTTTGAATCCTCCTCCTCAAACGACAACGACCACGAATCCAATGAATTATTCGAATGGAGTGACTTCTCCGATGACCATGATGGAGAATGTGAATTCTGGAGTGTCAACTTGTGAGGGTAACCATACTGGTAACTCCAATTCGACGACGACGACGACAACAACAACAACTGCATCATCCTCGTCGTCATCTTCATCATCATCGACACTGAATCATTCAGTAAATGTGAATACTTCCAGTCCAGCATTGAATGCATCGTCGTCGTCACAAATCATGAATGGACAAAAAATTTATTTTTCAACCTATGATAAGAATGTGGAAAAGGATTTTATTGAAATTTATGTCACCTTTTCTCCAAATGATATTGAAAAAGAAGCCAAGTTGGCGATTGATGATATTCATCAAATGGGACAACAAGAGAATCATGAAGATGATTATTTTGGTCGCCATTCGAGTCATAGTTTGCAAAATCAAACACATGCAAGTCAGACCTTAACAACCAATCATTTGAAACGAATGCCTTCTTCACATGCCATTCGACAAGGAATGTCACAAATGTCACAACAAGCAGGTTTTTCGCGAGTCATTGAACCCAAAATAGTGAAAGGCATTACACACGTGATTGGAAAAAAGATTCAACCTGAAAAGAAAGCTCTCTATTTTATCATGCAATTTCGACATGAATTATTACCTCAAAAATTACTTTATAAGAAAATTTATTTCATTCAAGAAGGAAATGGAATTATTTATTGCTTGACATTGACCACAACGAGAAGAGAACCAGAAGATGTGATTGGATATACAAGTGTCACTCCAAGTCCATTACTAACGAGTAGAGAAAATCAAAGTGCAAGAAGTGCAAGATCTTCTTCAATTCCTGCCATTCATATTGAATCTCACACGTGTCACAGTCCTTCGAATTCAAGTTCAGTCACACCTCCAACGACTCACAGTAAGAATTTGAGCTTGTCAGTCACTAGTGTTGCTTTTGAAAGTAATTCTTCTACATCAAATTCTGCAAATTCATCTCCGAATTTAAATGGTGAACCAACTAGTAACAACAATAACACGACATTGACAACAGTCTCAAATTCACAACCCAATAGTGCTCGAAAACGAAATTCCTCTTCTGGTTCAGCACCAAAAAAGACCTTCATGAAAATGGTGACCTCTGCCTTATCGACCTCAGCCATTGAAAGTGACAGCGGTGATGAAATGACCATTTTGACTGGATTTATTCCATCCGTCTTGTACCATTCTGTGAATTCACAATCCATGGCTTCTCAACAACAGTCACAACCTGTTTTGGATGGAGGAGTGTGGAGTGATATTTTAGTTCGTGAGTTATTTGTTGGAAAATCATTGAAAGAGTTGAAACGAAAAACTAGTAATATGGATGGAGAAGGAGTAATTATTCATGTACCTATTTGTTTTATTCCTTCTCTGAGATTGGAGACTGATGGAGAACAGGAAATTATAAAACATTATGGAATTTCAGATTTTGGAAAGAGAAAGGAGGATTATAAATTATTACTCTATCATCCAATTCAATATTTATCGAGAGGACCATACTCGACGAAAGAGGAAATGGTTGAAAATATTTTTGTGACCCATGTAGATTTTGTTTTAAAACACACCACCACAGTATATGAAAAGAAGAATTTAATTGAATTTTATTGGAATGCCGATGTGTGTGGAAATTGTGAAAAACTTGAGGAGGAAATTACCTTGTTAACAATGCCTACGGAGAAGAATAGTGGAAAATTATTGAATTTCTTCTATGAGAGGATTTTTAAGGAAAAGGTCAAGAAATCATTCACTCTCTTGAATGAGAAGAGTATGGAGTTTTCTTCCGTGATGAATCATCAATCTGTAGACTCAAACTTGGGGAACAATACATCCATAATAACACCCCAAATGACAATGCACAAGGCAAAATATTTAGAATTGGATGGTAATACCTATTTTGGTAACACTCTCAAGAAACAATGTTGTTTGGTAGAGAGAAATTTCAAAATTTGGATTTTTACATATAGTTCCACCAATAATTTGATTGCAAGCGAAGCTTTCCATACTATCTTGTCGGAAATAAAATACACGTCATGAATGTTGTTGTGACTTAGATATAATAATATGTTAACTAAGGAAACGAATAATTTTCTTTGCGTCCACATGTTGTTGTATAAAAGCACTTTCCAAAGTTTATTGCTTACTCTTTTCAAGAATATCCTCCAAAGTCTTGTAAAAATCCAACGCATTGGCTACCTTAAATTTGCCCATCGGTATTTCTTTAAACCAATCCAATTCTCCAATCGTTGAAACATCGAGAGCATGTTCTCCTTGACCAGTTTGGAAATATTCAGGTAATGGTAAATCTTGCAACCAATCACACAAGTCTGACTCTTTTTGCGTAAATGTTTCAGATAAATATTTAACCATGGCGTCTCTCATAGAGGACATTAACACTTGACAATCAATGTATGGCATAACCGTGGTAGTTAATTTGTGCTTCAATTCTGGTGACAATGGCTCCTTGTAAATATCATGTATTCCTGCAAAGATATCCAAAGTCAAATGTTGCTCAAGAATTTCAAATAAGTGATCCAAGTGCTTAATTTGTAGAGTTTGAGATAGGGAACCAAATAATTTTCTTGCGTCTTGGATCATCAAGTCCTTCTCGAGATAATCAACAAGATACTTGTCTAAAAATTGAACGCTCACTCCTGATTCCACTGAGAGAGATGATTGTATAAAATGAATAGCCATTTCCACATATCTAAAACAGGATACACATCGTTCGGATCGACCACCTGGACCTCCCAACTCATTAATGATCATTTCTTGGTCGTCTTGTGTTAACTTGTCATTAGAAATTTTTGTATTTCGTTTTTTAAGGGCTGAAAATTTTTCCTTTGCTCCTGTCACTCTTATTTCTCCAGTAAAATCAAGCATTTTGATTTGAATTTCAATGAGAGATTTTCGTAAAAAGAAATTATCAATCAAGTATTGTTGAATAAACTCAAAATCATAAATAATTTGTTGTGGCTTTTCAAAACTCAGAGAACGATTGCAGTGATCCTTAATGAAAGGGAGTAAATGACGTTGTAATGAAATGTTCACAACATGGGTGGGTGTCAACTCTCGGCTTGTGACAACACGAAGATCTTTGGATTCCATACTGAAATATTCTTTGGATATAAGCTCTGTAAGTTTGTTTTGTATGCCAACCAAATAATGAACCATGGCAAGTCCAAATATGGGTTCATCTTTTTCGGAGGGTACAATGTAAATGAGTGGCTGGTCTTTAGACATTTTGATCTCCTTCATGTGATGTGGAATTTCTAAACATTCATACCTCTCTACGAGTTTGAAGACTGAGTTCCATGCTTGTGCAAAACTTTCAAAACATGCCTCAAACAAGGTTCTTTCGCTTTCATCCTCCATCTCCAAAATAATTTCACGAACAGTAGAGTTGAGTGCATTTTCTCTACGAATTCTCTTGTCAAACCTCTTACATACTAAACGATACAAATCAAAAATGTTTGGTAAATGATGCATGGCTTGGAGAGGTACAATATTGTCAACAATAGCTGCTAGTGCTTGTAGCTTATCCATGGTAGCAGTTTGTTTTAGACTGTTCATGAAATGCTCCAATGTAATACTCTCAACAGGCATGAATATTGAGGGAAGTAAGAGAGTTCGTTCTTGAAGGGAGAGCACTTCCTGATCAGGATAAATATGCTTCATGAGCTTACTATTGGCCAAGGTGGTTTTACGATCCCTTCGTGCTTCATTGTGTCTTTGTAGTGTTTCTTGAATAAATGTCAAGATACGGTCTGGTTTAAATTTTCCCTCTAGCAATTGCGTACAAAAATTGTTTTCAAAAGGTCTTCGCTGATCTTTGTGTGTCAAAGCATGAAACCATAACGTAGTACTCTGAGTAGCAGCTCTATAACTAATTTGTGCAAACGTGTGATGAAGAGTAATACATAAATCTTCTTCATTTCTTCCTGTTAATTGCGAAAGAATATGCCAATCATTTGTGAAATGTTCCATGAAGTATTGATTTGCATCTGCAGGATTACAGTATTGCGTATTGATGAGTACTCGAGTATTGTTGTTGAAGAAGATACCACTTGCATAGAGTAATCCACTCATTAACAATCGAATCAGTCGGAATTCAGTCGAGGATAAATCTCTATTAGTACTATGCACATCCGCTGGGCTTGTTTCTTCTATGGCACTTCTTGCACAAAAATTTAATGGAGTATTGTCCACATTTTGGTACTCTCTATTGGTACTTAGCAGTGTGTGACTACTTCCACCAATGGGTTGGCCACATTCCCTACAAATATCAGTAACCATTGCCCGACCACATTCAGTGATGATGTAAGCATGGCCATTAGGGCAAGTATACGTCTTTCCTCCTGTGATTTGTGTTAATGTCGATGTAATATCATCATTCATAGTTGGAAATAGAGTGTTATGCAGTTGAGTAATATTTGTCAAGCAGTTCCAGAAAAATCCCATGGAAGGAGTGTTCAAATTCCATATCACCATTACAATTTGGTGAATGAGACATCGTAGTAAATGAATCTTGGACATGGATGTTTCGGGAGTGATTTCAAAGTTTCGTATATTGTTCTCTATTAATCTTTCCACAATGTTCACAATGGAAATATTTTCAAAAACAACAAGTTTAGCCTTGTTATTTCTCATCCAGACGAGCAAATGATTGTAGTTATTCTGTTGAGAAATCTTACGCCTCAATGTGACATGTTCAAGCAATACCATTAACAGTAAGGCACAGAAACAATTTCGTGAGTTTCTTGATCTCTCATATAATGTGTTGAGCAGGGTATCAGTTTTAGCATCTGATAAACGTAATTGTTCCACAGCATCTCTCATGGTATTGTAATTTAAGCCCTCGTTTGGTAATTGGTCATACAAAGTAGCGAAAGGATTAGAGTCGGAAAGAGCTCCATTATCTGATATGAATATAATGGCTTCTTCTTTTTGTTTCCATGTCTCTATAAATGCCATTTGTTTTAGCATGGGATTATAATTAATCATGCTTCTTGTGGCTGATAATCCATTAGATTTTGCTAACTCTCTAAAGAAAAATACTAGAAGTGAATAGTTATTTTGGAATAAATGATCAATCGTTTCTATGAATTCCAATGAAGGCTCTTTTTTAGATGAGATACACTGTGCAAACCATCTCACTGCTACCTTACAGGAACAAATACTTTGTAAAAATTTCAGTATTCCACCTGGGAGAGGCTCCATAGACAGCTTCTTCTCCAGTTTTTCATGCAAAAGATGCTCGTTGTTAATTTCGTCCGTAACAGATGATTCAATTTCATCTTCTAAAATCTGTGAAATGGCAACTGCAAGAGGAAAATCTGCATGTTTAAAATCGGAATATAATGTTGAAAGCTGATCTTCTAACTCATGCTCAATAACCGCACCAATCTCTGTATTTTGCTTTTTCAAAGCAACCAAGGATCGAATCACAGACGATCGCATAGAATCGTTGACAATAAATTTCAAAAGCTTATTGTCAGATAAGATCTTTTTGTTTTCACTCAAATACTGTATAATGGTTGAAATGAGAGCAGCAGATAATTGATCCATGTTTTCCGATTGTAGACAGTAATGGATTATGAAAATCTCAGTCAATTTGCTTGCTCTCTCAATAAATATATTTTCTTTAGAAGACATTTCTTGAACTTGATCAAGATGTTGATCGCATAACTCGGTATAGGTTTCTACTGAAGACAAATTAACACCTCTCTGACACCATCCACATGATTGATTCTGAATTCCATTTTTTGTCTTGCTTGAGCAATAGTTGTTAGCACACTCAATACAGACATATCTGGAACAGCATTTTGTTTTCCTCAACTCGGTTGGATCTGGAATTGTATAGCAAATGAAACATTCAAAATCTTCAGCGCTTTCTGATCGGCTATATTTCTTATTAATATCTGTGAGCGTTTGAAGAAAATCAATAAACATGTTTGGCTGTTCGAAATGAGTTGTTTCCGAGCTTGACAACTTCTTCCAATAATTTTCACAGATGGAAACATCAAAACTGTCCTCGTCAATTCCTCTCTTAAATGCCAGGTCTTGTAAAAATTTGCTGAAGAAGCTAATACACTTCCATATATGATTTTGTTTTCCAAAGTTCCATCGAGTGCTGTCACTAACATTTTCGCTCAATAAAGTACTATCAATTAATTGTCTTAGAAGCCTACAACACTCTGATATGATGTGAACGTTGTTCACCCAACTTCGGCTCTCTTCGATATCTGTTAACGACTTCCAGTTAATAGCATTGGTTGGGTTGATAGCATCGATCACTAACTGATACAAGAAAATATCACAATCAACAATGGATTCAAAGGTTGGAATATTGTAGAACAAGTTTTCAAATATGGAAGCATCTCGAATAAGATCCAATACATGGAAGTATGTCTTGAATCTCGGTTCGTTTGACCAGTATATTACCTGTAGATCTGTAATGGTAAACTCGCTTTTGTTTCCTAAATCCTTATTCACAATCTCCATTATCAATTGTTTACACTTATCTAACGACAGCGTCGAGTATTTGAAACCATACATTGTGAAATAATCATGGATGAAACGTTCAGCAATTGAAAAATGTAAATATTGCTTGTTCTCATCAATCATTACATTGCTCGAATCGTTATTAATAAATGTGTACTCTAACAAATTTGGATATGTGCATTCGAAATGCTTTTCCAATTTCTCCAGCATATTGTCCTTGTCAGTATTATTCTCCATCATATTTTTCTTGACGCCCTCACTGACAATGGAAATCAAATAACTGAAGGGAAATTGAGCATTGAAGTGAGGAAGTTGTGTTCCATAGTGAACGTTAATGTGTCCATGTAATTGTTCAGAAATGAGTAAATCTTGAATCATTTTTGGTTGTACGTTTTGTTGAAACATTTCTAGCCAAAAATCTCGAACATCATTGTCGTTCAGGAGCGAAAAGTTGTTGAAACGGTCGGTTACACTCAACACGGCAGCAAACGTAATGAACAATTTTTTAGATATGAAATACTGTAGTGCAGAGTTTAAAGTACCACATATTTGCAATAGCTTCTCATCTTCCATTACCTCCAAATACCATTTATCGTCGTTTTTTGTGGTAATTTTAAGAACATCCAGCATCTTTTCTTGAACAGCTTGATAAAATCTGTGTTGAGAGCTCGACAACAAATTCCTAATCGTAATAATTTGTTTTTGAATAGAGTCAGGAGTTCTTGGATACGGATAAACAATTCTTGAAAGAGAGTTGTGTAAATTGGCCAATGTTAAATCCATGATGGGGAGTTCAGATAATATCTTGCTCAAAGGTTTGCTCACTAATGTGAACATATCTGGGAAGGCGGCTTTTGTGTTCGAAGAAATGTCGTCTATGAATATGTAATTCCATCGTTTGTCAAAATCGAACGTGAATCTCGATTCTTGGAACGAAAGCCCTCTAATTAAGTTCACCACAATGACCACATTACGTATCTTGGATGGATTGTTTTTGATGAAAAGTTCTCTCTTGTTTTCGCAAGTGTATTGAGCGTAACGAATTCTGCGAACAGAGGAAGCATTTGGATCTGCTAAAATGATGAGCAAGGATTGGTCGTGGTCAGAATTGAAAAAGTGGTCTAGTTCGGAATTAAGGTCTGCTGATGTTTTCAGTTCGTGAAGTTGAATGAACTGGACCTTCATTTCTTCATTCTTGACCACAGTAACGTCACTTTTAACCGTGGTTTCAATATTAATATCTAAAGGAGAGTATGTCATCACAACAGCTTGGATTCCATTCGATGTTGTGTATGACCATTCTTCAGGATGAGCAAATACCTTGTTCAATAATGAGGGAAACGAACTATGATCTTGTTTCATGAAATATGTTTCAATAATTTCTCGATTACCAGACTTGACAATATGTTCAGGTGAAGCAACCCACAGTAATTTTTCAATAGCATTGGTGTAAACATACGAAGTACCCTCATCAACCATATTATCTATTTCAGTGGAGTACAAAGCTTGAACCAAACTTTTAAGGGATTCATCATGACACCCAACGAAAATTTTAGGAAGGTTCTGAAGACCGTCGTCAACCAAATTTGAAACAAAGGTTTCGAGCATGGACAAGGAAATGCTATTTTCTTCAGTCATGAAATCAATGCGATTGAAGGAGTGCTTTTCTAATCTATTAAGAAAAGGTGCTGCTAGCTTGGAGTATGCGTCACTAGCCTCCGCAATGACTACAATTCTAAAGTTGTCATGCACGGCACATGTGACCGACTCATTTCCAAATGCGAGTCTTGCAAACTTTTTCTGCTCAACTACTACGTAATGTTGATTCAGTAAGTCATATAAACTCTCATATAATGACTCACAATGTACAAGTACTACAGTTCTTCCATCGGACATTGCCAGCTTGATCTTTTGCAATTGAAGAGATAGGGCGAAATTGTCATTATTCTCGAGAGGAAAATCACTTCCGAACAGTACTAGAGTCTCCGACAGCGAAAGTATATTGTAATCGAATAACAGGTTCAAGGCTGCATTGTTATGAGTTAGCAACATTAAATGTCTAGCCATGGTACTGTCTTTCAAGTTCATTTGAATGAGTTCCTTATTGGTTGGCCTTGGCATTTGACTTGAAGTCAAACTACTACCAGTTTTCGTCTCAAATATTTTAAGAATTGCATGTACTTGATCTTTTGGAACTCCTCCAAAATTACGTAAAATTGCCAATAGTAACGCTTGGTCAAAGCTCACCTCTTTTCCATCATACACCATTTTATCATTGACCACTCTGTTCAAGAACTTGATGCATTGATAGAAATCACGCAATCCAAAAAATAGTTTGATTTTTTGAGTATTAAATAGCTCCAAATAACTTTGGGCAATTGCCTCCAAGTAGTTATTCAACTGCAATTTTTTAACACCAATGATTCCTTTAGCAGTATTCTTTAAATCTTTTGATGTAGGTATTGATCTGTAGAGAATGCTCATTCTGTTCATCTTGGAGCTGTCCAAACTGTAGTTACTAATTGCAATAAAACTAATCTTCTCCAAATTTTCCAATTCGTGATGCAAGATTTTTAGGGGTAAATTTGGCGAGTCAGCCAAGCTAATTTCATCAAGCAGTACAACAGAAAGAGAAGAGCTTCCTGAACTTTCTTCAGCATAACGTCTAGCTGATCTGAAAGTTTGTGCAATACCTCTTGCCGTGGATAACGGAGAACATTGATACGCAAAAATATTAATATCTGGTAAATGATGCAACCTTTTGTTGGTTGATGCCTTTCCTCTCATTGCCTTGGAAATTAGATCAACAGCAAGAGATTTTGAGGAACCAGCAAAGCCCACAAGTATAATAGGAATGTGGTTTAGAAGAGCCAAGAAGAGCATAAAGCAGTTTTCTGTTAACGCCTCGTTCAAAGAAATGCCTTCTCCTGGGTTGAGTTGTGTTGTTAGCTCGTTTTGATACTTGGTCACCGTTTCAACAAAGAATTGGCTAGTGAATGAAGAAATTACAATTCTGCCAACTTCACAAATCTTTCGTAAATATGATTGCCGTTGATCTCTGTTGAGCCGACTGTAAAACGTAAAGGCCAACGATAAAACAAGACATTTCAAAAAGTTAATATTGTGAATACTGAACTCAACCAATTGAGTTTCAAGCTTGAGAATATCCCAAAACACAGAGTCGCTGGCTTTTTTGTGCTCTTCAAACAGCCAAGAGAAAACTTGTACTGATCTCTTGACGTCTCTCAAACTCACCACGCTAACTTCGTGCATGGCCTCTCTAACGAACTGTTGTGAAGTGCATATTAAGTCAACAAATATTTCTAAAGTCGGATTGTGTTGAGTATGAATTACATAGGCTCGAAGTCCCTTTTGCAGCATGCTACGAATGTAGATTCGTTCTGTTTCTATGGACAATGATCCAAAGTCATACACGTGGTCAATAAAACTGTCTGGAAGAGGATGAACTCGGTACACCAGATTCTCGAGAGGATCTGGAATATTCTTGAATGATGGGTGCTTGTATAATATACCACTTTGGGACTGGATCACTGCCTCAATCTTTTTAGTATTCTCGTTCTTCAGCCGATATGGGTTTAGAGCGCAAACAATCTTAATGTTTTTAGGAATGGGAAGGCCATTCAATACGCGGTCACACACAATCTCTTTGAGAATACCAGTATGTGCACATGTATTAGATTCGTCAAAAAAAACAATATAGTTTGCCATTGCATGGCTATTAGCTTCTTCAATAATTGGATAAATGAAATCAATAATATCCTTTTCAGAATGGCCGCCATGCAGAGTAATTCTCCTAAGATCCATTTCTAAGATTTTGGAAAGATAGGCCATAAGAAAACTCTTTCCACAACCGGTTTCACCAAGAATAATCACCGGTAAATTACATTTAAATCTCAAAATTATTGCAAACATTTTCATCAAATTGTCTTGAGTAAGTACGTAATCGCTATTTGAAATCTTTTCTCTCAGAGAATAATCATAGTAATCCGCCATTTCGTATTGATAACTTCCATTTACCATAGTCAAAAATTTTAGACCTTCAATTTCCGTGTCTATTTGTCCTTTTTGAGTGAGGCTTGTGTTAAAATCAAAATTAATATCTAATTTTTGCTCATGTAGAATGTGTATTTCTTGATCACTAAAGAACTTTTTAACGGATTCTTGCTTAAGAGCAATAACATTGAATCCTGCAACAGTAAAATCATCTTGGGTGAATATTAGTACGGGATGAGTCGACTGTTCCCATTTTCGAATGCTTGAAAATCGTTTGGCATATTCCTCTAGCGAAGGATTGGCCGTATTAAAATTAAGAACCAGCTGTCTCATAGCGAAATCTTTTGTCATTTCTAATGCAAGAGCAATGAGAGAGTGAGGAATTCTTGCAGTTAAGGGCTCTAGGCTTGGAAGTACACGAAGTAGCTCGTATTTCATGATAGATTGGAAAAATTCATAAGTGAAGTCAACAAAATTCGAAATTAAAGAAAATGATGTTTGTCCAGTGGTGTTACAATATCTCATTAGAATGTCAAAGCACTCTTGTGGTTCCAAGTAGTCGTCAGGAACAAACTGTGCAAACAGCTCCGGATTAGAGAAGGTACCTTTTTCGAAAGCTTTCAATATTGCACAAACAAACAGAAGCTTGCTATTGATAGCTGATGTTACCCTACCAAAATCATCCATTTCAAACCTCTTCTCTATGAGAAGTGTTTCGGCTGTCACTTCACAAACTTGTTTTGGTAAGAAATTGCACAAGGGCACAAATTTTTCAAGTGTAATATTTTGAGGTGCATTCGGAATCTCAATCAGAATGCTATCAACTTCTCGTCTATGATACACCTGTCCATTGTAATCAGAAATAGACCCCACCACTATAAGCTGGAAAAGAATAGCATTTACAATACTATCCACATGTGAAGAAATGTTGAAATAGAGAGCAACAGGATGAGTTCTATTAGTTTTCTCATTGAGCTGAGAAATTAAGCTCGAGATGTCAACACTTTCGCGCAAAGAAATAGAAACTAGCTCCAACTGATTCTCACATGCATATTTGAAAATTGAATGAGTTTTACCGGCTCCCGAGTGCTTGGAAGTGTAAACTTTCGTACCACATGAATAGGTATTGCAAATTTGTGAGTAAACCTCAACCATTTCTTCGATGGTAAGAGTGATTGCAGCACCATCAAACCTGAAATTAGAAAAAGCATTGACAATTCGCTGATGAGCGTTGCCGGAAACTATGACTAAAGGAGGAGCCAGCTTGATGTCAGAATTGTGAAGATATAATTTCAACTTGTCAACTACTTGGCATTGTGTTGTATACGACAGCAAATGAACATTCGCCAAAGTAAATATTCTCCTACTGGTCAACGATTGCGATCTTGTTTGTGACCAACGTGTGAATAATAATAAAATATCTTCCACCTTAGTTCTACTATTACACATTAATATTTCGTACATTTCTGGTAGTCTAGATTGCACTGCATACAAAGAGAGTACAACCGACTCTACATCTTGCTCATTTTGGCATGAAATAACAAACAAATTTTCAATGTCTTGATTGGATTGAGTTAGCGATAGAGCAATATCTTTTTTGGCGGAAAATGAAATACTTCTGTCTTTTTGTAAAATAATATCTTCAGTGTCACCAAATAAGGCGGAGAGCAAGTTTCCAAGACTCTCTAATACAGTATAAGATAAATCATCATCTACAACTACAAAGTTATTCTTGTTATGCCATTCCGAAAGCAACAATTCTAAATGCTTATCAGTAAATTCTCTTCTAATAGTTTTGCACATGGAGTGTAGATTGGCACTGTTGTTGCATTCAAGCCACTTTAATATTTCCCTAAGCTCTCGCATGTTAAAGTAATTCAGATATGAGTATTTCTGTCTAATGTTTTTGATATCTTTCTTCCATGAGGCATTAAGAGCTTCTAATCTTGTTGCTTCATTTCTCAGCTTACCCATTTCGTTATCTACACAACTGATTTGGTTAAAATTGAACTCATATTCATACTGGTCTATTAATATATTTCCATTCTTTATCAATTCAATCACTGACTCTTTGATGCTCAATAGTATGTTAATTAGCTCAATAAAACGATTCATTTCAAAATCTAAGTTTTGATGTTTTTCTTTTAGCTCTCGAGGCACAGATGTATTCAGTACCGTTGTACGAATGTCCAACAAATCAGACATGGTAAACGTTTTGTCCTTTGAAGAGCTTGGAAGTTTGTATATAATCATGTCCTCAAATGTGTACTCGTTTTGATGTGCATTAAGGGATAAGATACTTGATTTGGTTGAGATTTTGAAAGCGGCTGACTCCATTATTTCAAGTAGTTTGAGAAGAGAGTTGACAGAAGGGCTTCTTGTCTTGTCTCTAAATATTTGTTTCACAGATTCTAAATTTTTTCGAATGAACGATACATCTTGAATCCTTCTTTCGATTTCTTTTGAATCTTTGTTATAGTTTAGCGACTTCATGGTCTGTAAGAACCCTTCACATGAGCTAAATTTGGTTTCAGGATATACAATATCGTACAAATATTCACGGCAGCTTATTAGAGATGCAAATGATTGGAGAGTAATAGCATCATCAGTAGTCACTTCTCTGCAAACTCGTATTAGCTCATTGAATTGCCCAGTGTTGTGATGTTGCCATAACCATTCAAGAAGATCATCAGATTGGGCCAATACTTGCACAAGATCTAACTCGTACCGGCTCAAATGTTTTAGGGCTTGTTTGGCAGCATTAACAATGTCAGCAACATCGAAAAGAGTTCCATTCTCCCATTTTTCAACAAAAAACTTGTAGTGGAGCGCTGTCAACCCAATGAAATACTTGTCTTCAACAATAGATGAACGGAAAACATTGCCAAATTTCTGCAAGACCTGAATCACTAAAGGAACATATGTTTTTTGCCTTGAAATGAAAATGAAGCTATGCACGATCTTTGTATGATAATCACACCACTCTTTTGACTCTCTGGTCTCTGCCACTAATTTAAGAGAAGTAGCATTGTTTTCAGCATCATCATCAACTTTGCAAGTAGTTTTCAGGAACCTTATCTCGCTACTAACGTCTTCTTCACTTTCAAAATTTGCAAATTGGTGTTCCAATTCTTGGAATGAAATAGTTTTCGAATTTAAATCGTTGTACAACTTGATCCACTTGTTTGTTACCAATGTAAACACCTTATTTTTCAGATCTTTTACAGAAAAACTGACTGTTGGAGTAGAACCGTCAGTGTTCATGTTGGTGATTTGAGCCTCTTTTTGTGCCACCTCATCGATGGTTTGGTTCCATGTCTGTAAAAACAGTTCTGACTTGGATAGATATTGCAGCTCATTCAATTCTTTCAGGAAAGGTTGATCGTTCAGTAATGATTTAATTGCATCAAATGGAACTCGTTTCTCAATTGCAGAGTCCAGGCGTGTTAAAATATCTCGCAGAGAAGAGCTGTCAACATGCTCGTTTTGACAATAATGATTACAAAAATCATGTGTTTTCCTTTGTAAGGATGTAAATTGAGCCACTTCCTCTTCTAATTCAACCAACGTCGTTAAACTCAATACATCCTTACTTGTTGACAATGCTAATTGAACAAACCTCTCCTTGTTGTTTCCCTCAAAAAGCTCTTTCAGCATATCAATGGTGGCCGTATGGCCAAGTATTGCATTACCCCAATTGTCAAGTAATTGAGCTGCTTTTGTTACCGTTTCTGTGGTAAAGCTCGAGTTGCATAATGAAAAACATCTACACCACAACTCAGAATTGTTCAACAGTAATGACATATTTTCTTCTGTGTATATGTGATTCGTGATGTGATTGAGAATAGTATCAGCAACCATATGTCTTTTGGTGATTGCTCTTTCCAAAGAGTCGATATGTTTTTCAAGTAAGTTCAACAATGAGTTCAATACTTTGGATGAATATCCCATTTTCTTGCAGATATCAAATGTCACGTCCTCCAGCACTTTGAAAAAGAGTGAAACTTCTTGCATTGATGTTTTGGCCTCAAAATCCAAAAATCCTTTTAACAAATCTTGATTTGTCATTGCAGAAAAGTAATAATTCCCCTTGAATGACTCAAGCACGCACATTTGATAATCTTCTGGTCTTAGAATAGATTTGGAAAGACGAGACGACATTCCTACATAAAAGTCAAGAATGTCTGTCAACTTGAACGACTTCCTTCCGAAAAATGTAGAGCTCGTTTTGTTGCGGAAAATCTGCTTGAATACTTCTTTGAGTAGTTTGGAAATTTTCTCCTTGTCGCGTTCTTCACAATTGCTAACAAACACATCGTCGTCAAAAAAGATAAAGACAACATCTAAAATTTCATGTGCATGAATGTGATCCATGGTTTCAATGTTACCTATGGATGAAAGTAATACCTCCAACAAAGAGAAGGATCTCGAAAAAGATTTCTCACTACAAATAATACTCTTCAATATGTCAAGCTTTTCTTTTGTGTCATCTATCCACTCTGTGTGATTTTTCACAAAAGTAGTAAATTCTTTCAATAATACATTGCTGATAGCATGCTCGTTGTCACATTTCAAACATCTACCAAATTGTAAAACAACCTGTATATGATCAAAGGAGGAACTAGCTAATCGAAACAAGGTTGAAACAATGACAGAAATTTGGCTTGATGTTACATGCATCATGTGTTGACTGACGCTAGAGCTTTTGTGCTCGACCATGGCAAACAGTTCTTTCATTTCATCATTGAACCTTCTTTTATCAGCGTACATGATCAATGTGTCAAGTTGGTTGTAGTTTCCATGGAAAGAATTGCCAAATTCACTGTGAATGAAGGGAGAGAGTAGAACCCAAAAAGAAAAGTTTTTCTTCTCTGGATGCTTCATAAATAATCTTATCAATTGCTGAATACCTGACTTGAATGATGTCTTAATATTATCCAAATGGCTCACGTCATTCATTGACTTTGAAGGGGTAGTGTTGCTTTGTTCGCTCAACTTTGAAAGAATGTGATTGTAAATGGTTGAAATGCTATAAACATCAAAATGCCGCAATAAATACACAACATCAAGAAAGTTGTCTAAATCTGTCGAAGAGGTGAGGGAAACTATTCTGTCAAAAATACAAACGATCATTATTGCTCTGCATTCAAGGTTGGTTGTATTTTCTCCAAAAGTTTCAACTCGATCGAGTAAGAAACTTTTCAATTCAGTCACTGTAGAGTCTCGAAAATAGTTTCTTTTGGCAACAAATCTTTCGGACACTTGGAAGGCAGCTTTTCCATTGGTTGTCAAAATTTGCTCCAAACTTTGGAAAAGACCGTCTAATCTTTGATAAAACAACACAAGCTTTTGCTGCTGTGCTTGAATATGTTGTCTAATCAATTCGTCATTATCATTTGATTGATTGTAATTCCTGGCGCTTAATGACTTTTTTCGTGCTAGTGGTATATCGTTAATTTCGGATAATACACTTTCAAATAATTCTTCCACAAACGAAAATAGCACTGAACGCTTGGATTGTGTAATTGTTTGAATGGCTGACTTTAACAAGCCAACACTTTTTTCGTGTTGGGGTTTAAATTGGCAGAATATTTGAGAAAATGGCTTCTTAAGATTGCTCATAAATGTCACGTCGCTAACAGCCTTGTCACTGTTCACAATACCTCGAGGGCCAGAAATCAACACCTTGAATTGCAAAAAACTTAAGTTTTTCGGAAGTACAGCAGATCCAATCCAAATTTCTTGATGGAAAGAAGATTTTCTCAACAAGGTGAATTTGTGAATCATGTTCCCCTTCTTACTGATCTTGGAGAAGAGAGATGTCGAAAGAGAGGGACTTTTGTAGTGAATATCAATTTTTGGGACTAAATTCGTTTGGTTGTCGTCATCTTCAAAATAGACGATCGGAATGAACACATGAAAATACAGAACCATTTGAGTGGTGGATAGGTCCGTAGTGCCATCATTACCTTCTTCTTCAATCACCACCTCCTCTTGTTGAATATTCTCTTCAATGGTTGTTGACAACGAGGATGTTGTTGAAGAAGCAACTTGTGAGGATGTTGTTTTTGATGATCCCCGATCATTCATTTTGCGTTTCTTTGAACGTCTAGATGAGGACGGGATCTGCTGGTCCTTTTCAGATGGCCTAGGAGCATCGTCATGTTGTGTGTTCTTTGCCTCTATTCGTGATGATTCATGATGAGTTTCAACCAATGAAGGATATGTAACTTGTTCATTAAATGTAGTGCTCTTATTGCTGTTATTATTATTGTTCTCATCAACAACATCGGATCCATCAAGAGCTTCTCTAGACCGAACCAATTGTTGTTTATCACGATGATTGGTTTTTGGTAGAAAAGAAAAATCATCTTCATTGTCATGATGCTGATTTGGAGAGTGATGAGGAGAAGCCTTGTGTTGAGAAGGCTTGTTGAAACGAGTTGAATTTTTAGAATTATTATTTACAGGAGGAACACGTGGTTCCGATGGTGATGACGAAGAAGAATTGATGCTGTTTGGTTGTTCTTGTTGTTGTTGTTGATCATTTTGTTTCTTTTGTTCTTCTTGTTCCTTCAAGTATCGGATATAATGAGGATCGTTGGTAGGCAACATCTTGGAGGAATGAATAAACAACAACTACACCAAATTTCGGGATGGGATGATAATTTACAGAGTCTTTCTTTGCTGCAACAATCTCGATCAACACACAAAATTATATGCTGTTCCACTACTCTTCTCTCAAAGAGACGAAGTAATTGTTGATTTTTTGCAGTTGGGAATTCTCTTTTAGAAAATTTGATATTTATTAGACTTTGCGCCAGTGGCACGGAACAGGGCTGAGCAGTCTCCTTCGCAGGCACTCCAGGATCAGAGCGTAGAAACTTCGTTACGAACAGAAGCCACCTTCAACAATTCGGTAGGGGACCGGAACTGAACCCTCGACCAGAGGTTGCCGTAGTCGAGGTTTGACTACTGAGCCACACTTGGCAACTATCTCTTTTAGAAAATTGTTTTTGATCGCTTCAATTTGAACCGTTCTCTCAATTCGAACAAGTCGAAATTCGAAGCGTGTATGTATCACGAAAGAGGGTATTAACTTGTTAACACGTGGTCGAAGATACCTTGTCACTACTAACAATTTAAAAAGATGCAAGTGATTACCATTTCCTGGTCAACTAAATTCAGCTCCTGAAGATTGTGAGTGTGGAATGCACTGTGATTCACAGGAGACGAGTGATTAACGGTGGTACGTCGATGTATCCCAAAAAATTGATCAACCAACCACTTTGATTACTTCAAACCTCATTAAAACTCCCTTTTACTACAGAAATTAAAATATGTCTCTGACAGGTTTGTCCTTATAAAAGCTTTTTGCCACACAATTAAGAATGGACAACAACACACCTGCAGTAACCATACTAATGGACATCCATCCTCCCACTTTGGCAACAACGTTGAACATTATTTCATATCCATTTAAATGCCTTCGTTCATCACAATACAGTGCGTCACATTCCTTAAAATATTTGGCATGATCTATGGTGACATTTGGCAGTGTTGCAATAAATAATTCCATGGTTGTGTTTTGAAAAGTCTGAAGATTTTTCCTTTGATTTTCAAGACTGGATTGAAGGGATCTTGGGTTCTTGTATCGCGTATCCGCTCCTTGTAGTTGTGCGAGAACGTCACTGGCAATTTCAGAACCAAATAAGAGGGTCATCATGATTTCGTTGGAAGTCAATCGTGCAAAACGTCGGATTCGTTCTTCAATATCTTTCTCAGTGACAAGATAGGGTGAGAAGAAGGTTGAAGAACCAAGAACTTCAGTAAAACCTTTCAAAAAGCTAATACATGCTTTGGATGAGACTTGATTTAACTTGGAACCGTTGCACATGTGAGTGGACGAGTTGTCCATTTGATTAATGAGAACTGGAAATTCAACTTCAATGTCCACTTTGACAAATGAGTCATAGGCAATCTCTTCATTGGAGCATGGACAAATAAACATTCGACTATTATTATTAAACTGATTCACAGTAAACGAGTGGTGTCTCTGGATAACAATTCTGTCTGAAGTAAACATTACAAAGTAAACAATGCTCACCGCTAACCATAAAAGTACAAGCGCAATAGAAAATAAACATCTCATTTCTGGACACGAGCAATATCCATCACTCTCAGAACCGTTGTTGCCATTATTGAATGATTGACCAGCAAGACCTTGGCTGTCTTGTCGCTTGTCCAGTGTCAAATCTTGGATACTCTGCATAATGTTTCAAGAGATTGAGATCATTCAACAACTTCATACACAGTGGTTGGTTCCTCCACATAATACTACTGTGAGCAATTGGATGCTCTTCAACCACTGTCGTATTTACAGTGAGCCTTCTTGACATGATTTTTTGTGTGTTCTGTTTGATACAAAATACGACGACCATCTGGACCCAATTCTAATTTGGTGTTAAAGATCAAAACTGTCATGTCGTCGATGAAATTCCTGAAGTAGTTCAACAATTCATGGAAATTCAACCTTTTTGCCGTTTCGATTATTCCTTCAAAAAGAGATAGATTTATTTGAAAAAGAATTTTCCTGAGTTTGGAAATAATTATCGTTCTGAATTTGGAAGGAATATTAAGGGCAGGTTGGATTTCGTGATCAACTGAAAAACTCGAAATTAAGAAGGAGGGAAAGGTGTGCATTCAACGAACACCATAATAATTTCGTGTCTTTGAGTATTTAGAGTTTATTGTAAGGTTCCTTTCACCTTAAAACTAGTTTCCAAACTCAATCATGGTAATTATCTTTTTTTAGATATTTCATGAATTCCCAAAAATAACCATTCTCCTTAAACTGTTTTCCATTTCCGAAAAAAAATGTCCTCAAGCAAAGCAATTAAAAGTATTTGTGTGATCAATGGCGGTGGTCGATTGGGTCGAAACATTTTACAATCTTTGGTCAATATTCGAGAGAATAAATCTCAATTGAATATTTCTTCGAATTCATCCAAAAGTAGTCAGGTGGATCCTTCGTTCAAGATTTTCACATTTGTGACTCCTGATCGAAAGGACACGTTTAATTCCGAGGGATTTGTTAAACAATTGGATGGAGTGACGGTTGAGAGGACAGATGGATTGGGAAGAAAGGAATTGGTAAGTGCTTGTTGCTTATTCGCTTTGACATTTGGCATGATGTGTTTGCTGAATGACATCAAATTAACAGAGAGATCGATTTGCCAAATACGATGTCCTTATTAATGCCACAGACTTTGAAAAGAGTTACAACGAAGAAGAATATGAGAGTAACGTCATTGAAGCTTGTTTCGATGGAAATGTCAAACGTTACATTCCTGCTGATTTCACAGTCGATTTCAATAATTTCCAAAACGGAGAATGTGAAAAGATGGAAATTCGTAAAAGAATTCGATCCTTACTTGAGAAGAATCAATCGAAAATGTCATTCACTTCCATTCTCAATGGTGTTTTCCTCGAACGATTGTTCGATCCATTCTATAAATGGAAAATTCTCAATTTAGAAGAACAATTAGTCGAATATTACGGAAAAGATAATTCAGACAAGGTTCCAATGATTGACTTTTCATTGTATCCAGAAGTTGGTCAACTCTGTGCCTTAACCTCAACATTGTTATTCGATCAAACTTCCAACAAGACCATTCCCTATGTGTCTCAATCCTACGACATGAACGAATTAGCCGAAATGCTCACCAATGATTTGGGACATGGCAAATGGAAAGTCAAGAAGATTGGAACTTTGAAAGATTTAGAAAAGAAAATTGCTGAACGCAAGAGTCATCGCATTCAGAAAATGGATGAAAATGTCGATGAAGAATTCGCATGGGATTATTTGTATGCCATTTTCAGTGAAAAGGGTCGTCTCTCACAGGCCACAAGTACTGAATATCAATCGATTAAGGATGTTGTGGAGAGATTTTCATCTGTCATTTCACCCTTAAAAGGAAAAGAGGAAATGACACCAAGTGTGACTAGTTCTGGATTGGAACGTAAAGATTTATTCCACAAGATGGTCGGTGACCAACAAGTAGATAAAGAAACACTCACGAAAATGTGTAGTAGTGCTGGATGTGGTTACGTACAAGTCGCTACCGATAGTACTTCAAAAATTAGACCTACTGGAGCTCCAATTAAGGAAGGTCCTTAAAAGTGTGAAAATATGTGTCGGTCAATGTCATGATTTCAAAAATGGTAATAAAAACTTGTGAGTTTCAGATGAGAAATACATTTATCGTTGAAGAGAGGAGTGGGCACGAGTTCAACTTGTTATTATTTCAAACGAATTTCTAAAGCTAATAGAAGCAATGCTTTCATCGATTCTTTTAAATACATGTTTTTGTTCGTCGACTGCAGTGAATTTGGAACATTGCATTGAGAAGGTTCATTTTGCAATGTTTGAGTCGATGTATTATTTGGAATGAAAGGATTGGAATTTCTGTCAAGTGATGGTGAGGTTGATGGTAATGACACTTTCATGAAAGTAAAAGGATTCGAACAAGAGTGGGATGTTCGTTCAACTGTTTCTTGTGAACCACTCGTTTGAACGAGTAATGGATTTTGACTTGTCGAATGAGGAATGGTGAAAGCATGATGGAATGTCAAACGATGACTTTTCAATTTAAATGAATGCACATGTGGAATTTTTTGAATTCCTTTCACACGCGGATGATCGATGAGTACATTTTCTTTGGAGACTGAAGTTTGGGTTTGTGTGAAATGTAATTCATTGAAATGATTCACTGTGTCATTGGTCAAATGTTGAATGGTTTCGACATTTTGATGAGATTTGAAACGTCTTGTTGTGGGATCTCTTCTTGTTCGTTGTTTTTCTTGTGAATAATTCAAGGGAAGTGATTGTTCATGATTGACTCTGAACAAGTGAGAAACATCCTTCGAGCCATCCAAGTGGTGTTGGGTCCATGATGTCGACTCGGAAGGAAGCCTTTTCATGTCGTTGTGTGTGGTGGTTGGTTTCATTGAAATAAGAGAGAATGAGCTAAACAGGTTGAGTGGATTTTTGTTTTGGGGATGGTTTGGGTAGAATGTGAAATGGAGATTGAAGTACATCAATGATGATGATCTCAGAAAAGGTTTGACGTGCTTGAATACAACGGAATGATTTGACCATTTCACCTTAGTGTCAAATTTCACAATGTCTTCATCTTGAAATTCCTAAAAAGGATCGCATATTTTCCCTTGGACTAATGGGAAAACGCGTGTGCGTGTCTAAAAATCAGTAATTTGTATTTCTGTTTTGAACTGCATCTCAAATAATACTAGTACCCATTTCCAAATTCTGCTAACAAATCTCTCATGGTTTCTTTCGAGAATATCTGAGAGGTGGCAAGGAATTTCATCTGTCAACAGTCAACTGTTTCAACATTTGATTCGAATTTGTACAAAACACTTTCTTTACAAGGTGTTAAATTATTTTCAATCGTTTAACAAATCCTTTATTGAGATAGATGTTCTACCTTTCTTTGTCGGTTGTTGTTGTTGTTCATTTGGTGGAGGAATTGGATTATTGCTCATAGATGACGTTGTAGGTTCTTGTGTTGGCGTTTGACACATGGGATGGTGTTGCAACAAGATGTTCTTTGCCACTTGATGTAGATCTGAATTCAATCCACACATTAAACCTAACAACATGGCCATTCCTGCTTTAATATAGGAAGGGGGTAACGCATGATGTGGTTGACTGTCACTGGTCAACTCATCACGAGAACGTCCATTACCACCATCCATCGATTGCGGTTGGATGAAAGAAGAGTACGTCAACAAAGCCTCTCTTGTCAATGGTTGTGATCCTTCATCATCGCAATAATGAGTAGTCTCTACCTGATTGGGTTGTGTTTGAAGATGTCTTAGAACGACACAAGTTTTGCTAACAGATATGGTTCTGTGTTGTTTTTCAATTTTGTGCCCGTTTCTCTTCATTGACCTCAATGTTAAAGAAGAATCATGACTGGATACTTGTTGTTGGCGAATGGTTAAACTTATATTCGAGGATGATGATGTTGTAGCCCTAGAGGAGGACACTGGTTTGGATCTCGTTGGATTAACTTTAGATGATTCAAGCTCGTGTTTCATATCGAGTTACTTTTTTTGCAATGACGTTTTCTAGGGTCTGAATTTTACATTCTTATCATGTCGAATCTTATATTCTTTCGAATTTGTTGTGGACGACAATTTTGGTGTTTCCGAGGCGCTTGGTATGAGGTGAAATGGGATGCAACAATGGTCTAATTTTGGTTATTGTGAGATGTCGTCAGTTTGTGAAGGTATTAGAGATGCATCTGTTTGACATCATTTCTCGTAAGAACGGATGAAAAGATCTCTGTGCGAGAGCTAGACACATAGTGATCTGAATTTTACAACTCAACTCGAAAATACAAAGTTTTGAATCTCCACGTGTTGGTTAATTAAGTAATTCTTGTATTGAGATTGATGTTCTGACTAAGCGTCTGGTTGTTGTTGTTGGTGTCTGATTGAAAGATGTTATTGATTCTTCAGATGTCGCATTGTTGGCAGGAGATGCCATCGTTTCACTCTTGAAACCAACAGGAACATTGTTGAGAATTGACATTCCAGCGTGTTGCCATTGGAGATGCATACCACAAAATAAACCTAAGAGTAATGCTCTCAATATTGTATTGGAGTGAATTATGGGTTCTATTCGTTCTTGTGGTTGTTGGTTTTGAATTGATGGCGGTTGTTGCGTTGGATTGGATGGGGAATGTTCATTTCCTGTGGTTGAAATACAAGATCTCTCTATGAGATCATTCTTGCGAATGGTGGTTAGCTTTCCTTTGGAAACGGTGTATTGTGTCATCCTTAATTTCTTGGGCTTGGATATTTTGAAATTTGTGAATAATGGAGGAGGGGTAACAGAAGTGCCTGGCTGGATGACTTTTGACAATTGTTGTTGTTTGGTTGTATTTCTCTGTTTCCTTGTCTCTCTCGTGTTCAAATTACAATTGGTTGGCGATTGAATATTGCATCTAGATTCATCATGTGTTTCTTCATGAATTAATTGTGAATCACACAACACTGGAAATGAGTGTTGTTCATCTATTTCATCATCATGATTGGTAAAAGCACTTCGAGGGGTATGTTCATCGTCGTACAAATCTACATGTGTGGATCCATAATTACATGGTGTTTGTGATTTGAGCTCATTCGACATTGTTGGAGTGGAGGACAAGACAACAACAGCCTTGTTTCGTTCCAATTGGCAGGGTATTGTGGAGTGATTCCCACGAGACATTATTCAAAGAAATGTGTTTGGTGGATTACAAACGACAATTTTTCAACGTTCAAAAAACTCCACTTGACCAAAAAACAGAAAATGAGCTCGTGTCTCGAAATTATTCCCGAAATGGGCCTCTTTTGAAATTTTGAAAAATGAAATTGAACGCGATGTGCTTCGCCAATAAGGCGTTTCTCTCGAAAAGAGGAAAACACAAACACATATGAACTTTCTTATTAAGAGTCCGAAATCAACAGAGAATCCTTTCAATAAGTAACGCATCGGAATCGTTTGCTGAAAAAGCTTCCAATAATATTTATAACCATCGTGAAGAACCTCAAATACTACGCGTATCATGGTACCACAATCCATTCATCATCACACAACAACATGATCTACTTTACGAATTCTTAACTCTCGGAACGAAAAATGTTTTTCATCCTTTGATCTTGAAAATAATAGGCTTCAAAGAAAAACCACAATGACTCATTTTTTGTTCAACTCTTCCCGCGTTCACATCATGATATTTGCTTTCCTTTGTGGTGTGAATCAAAATGAAAATGATGAATCAATTCACCAATACTGCGTTATCTTTCTGATTTCAAACATGAAAGAATAACATGAATTTGCACGTCAGGCTGATGATGGTTTATAATGTTTAAGGAGACTCGAAGGAACATAATGTCGAGTTTGCATAAAACCAATGATGTTTTATTGCGCTAATTGATTTTGTTGTTCCGCTGGTGTAGTTGTTTTTACATCTCCTTTCACATGTCGCATGTCAACACACAAAGTCGTTACATCACACAAAAAAAAGTCACCCACATTCTCTCTCTCAATTTTACCTCATTGTTGCTGCAGCCCACACGAAAAGGCTTTTGTCGAAATCACAACATCAACACAGAGAGAGATCTAGAAGAACCTTCTGTTGCACAACTCATTGTATTTTCATATTTTCGTGTGTATCCCTATCACAACAAAACAACAATTTTCATCGAGTTTTTTTTCTCTCTACGACTCGCATCATATCATCATCTAGGAACTAATTACTAAATCATGCCCATCGATAAAAAGAAACGTAATTTCATCATCACTCCCAATCAATTCTATTCCGAATTGAGTGAAGAAACTTTTCGTAAAATTTGTGTCAAGGATGTGAGCAAAAAGTTGTCGTATCCACTCTATTTGGACTTTTCCAATGATAAATTTCAAATCAATTCGTTGCAGGCGTTGCGAATTATGAAAACTGCTTGTGTGAAGGAATTGGATATTAGGTAGGTTGTGTGTGTGCGAAGAGAGAATTTCAAAATGATTCATGATGGTTGTTGTTTTTCTTTTGAAATTGACATTATGGTATGATATACAACACAATGTGTGTGTATGTAAATTATCATTGGACAACATGGTCATCATCCGAAAAACCTCTTGTTGATATATTCTCGATCCGATGGTCACTTTAGCAAAAACCGATTTAAAGAAATTGACAAGCCATTTGAAATGTTCACTCGTTTGAAACGTCTCTACGCCTCTCACAATGAAATTCACAAATGTCTCTTTACCAATGTTCATTCACATCTTGTACTTGTCGATTTGAGTCACAATTCACTCTCGTCTGTTCCAGAATCCTTGTCTCAATTAGTAAATTTGGAATATCTCGACATGTCCTATAACATGATTTCGAATGGAACAGAAACTGTGACTCGATTACGTGGTTGTGTGAAATTGCGAGATTTGAACTTGTCATTTAATCAATTGGATATGAATAAGGAAAAATTGGACAATTTTCTCGTGGAATTGAAGACCAATTTCAAAAAATTGAAGAGTGTGAATTTTGATTCAAATCCTTTCGTCATGAAATTAATGAATTATCGAGCTCTATTCATTACTCGTTTACAATTGACAAGTTTGGACGGAAAGGAAATTTCTAGTAAGGAACGTAAATCTGCCAGTCAACAAGGCGATGGCTCTTCCAACTTGATTCAACCCTTGTTCTTTGACGAAGTTGGAGAACAACTCAAAGGAACCTCTCGAGGTCTCATGAAACGAGTTCCATCGTTTAATAATTTATTCAGTGTGCTTCAAACAAAAGTCATAGAGGATGAACCCATTGTTGAGGAACCTGGAAGAAGAGCCACCATTGTGGAGGCCATTAAGGAACAAACACATTTTGACAAGATCAATGAAGTCCTCGAAAATACTTCACAAATTTACTTGTTAGTGGCTGGTCAGAAATTGTTACGAACCATGAAACAACTCTTATCAAACATTTCAGACATTTCCATGAAGTTGCATGCAGACGATCCAAACACTATTGGTCTCACCGGTTATGTGAAATTTATTGAATTGTTGAAAGGTTACATTACCCGTGACGAAACACATACTCTCAAGGAGTGCTTTATTCGTTGCTTGGTCACTAGCTTTGGTTTCTACACTCGAACGTTTGACAATGCCACTCGTGAAGAAGTTCAAGCCCTCACAGAATTGGGTAAATTCCTCTTCTGGAACAACAACACTGAAATTTTGAGAACGACCAATCAGGCACTTCATCAATTCATTTTGGCACAAAGTGGAAAGTACAATCAACAACCCATTGCCAATTTGTGCACCGTTCTCAAATATTTCGATGATTATGATCCTTTGAGCATTCCAAAAATTTCCACACCTCAAGAACTCAATCGTTTGAGCATGAAATTGAAACAACCATTGACAGTGGATGATCCCACTCAAAGAAATTCTCCTAGTTATCTCATTCCAAACTTTTCTGACACTCGAAGACGTTCCTCCTATATTGGACCTGTTATGGATGAAGACTTGTCACCAAGTGCCAACAGTCAAAAACGTGGTGGCATGCAAAATGAAGAAAGTGGAAATTCACTCCTTGCCACGGCCAAAACTAAGAAACTTCAAGGAATTACCAAGTTTTATCAAGAATTCATGACCAATCAATTTAAATCCTTTTCATCCAACATGCACGACATTCCAAACGAAATTTTACAGTTACAAATTCAAAGCACTGATTTGTTGGTCAAGACATTTAACTTTACAGATGCCATGATTTTAGCCATGACAGAATCGGATTTCTTGGACACTCTCATGGAAATAATCATCAAACAACACAAAGAATTTATGGAATCTCCAACCAAACCTACCACTCTGCAACCACAAGTTCAGAGATATATATTGTTGTTGAAATTATTTGTAGTCATGTCGTCATGTGCAGAAAAATTCTCTGGAAAAATCATTACGCTGACTGAACATTTGACCAAGGCAGTGTATTTTGTGAAACCCAAGACGGACCACCAGCATGCTAGTGAAGAGGTTGTAACGACTGATAGTAGTAACAATAACGCGTCACCATCTTCATCATCTGCCACTGGAGACGTTGAGAGTGAAATTACGGATCAAGTCATTGAAGCTCTAGTTTCTGGCTATGGGCAAAGTCATTTTGCAAGTTGTTTGGGTGTTATTCAAACGGCACTTGCAAGTGTTTGTCACGTTTCTAAAATTAAGGACGACATGTTCAAACAGAAAAAGTTTATGGATCTCCTTCTCTCGACTTTGAAGTATTTCCTTAATAATGGAATTACGACCATGAATATCAAACAAATTTCAGGAGCGTTGGAGTCCATTGACACATTGTTGACCATTTATCATTACAAAATGGTCAAGCATCAAACACAATATGTCACATCCAGTAGAACTCTTGTTAGAGCAGGTGACAACACTCAAATGACCGATGAATCGTATCGTTTGCAAGGAATGCAAGTCATGATCAACATGAACCAAATTCATGATTTGCAAGATATTCTATTGAGATTTATTCAAGAAGAAACTCTTCAAAATATTTTGATTAATCCCGTGTTAGGAGTGCCACTTGTGTCTACTGTATTGCATTTAATTCAAATGTTACCACTTTTGAATATTAACAAACATTTAGAAATGGTGAATGATCCAAAGTATTGTGCTCTCCTTCAACAACGTCTCTTGGAGATTGTCTTGTTGAATACTAACACTTCCAATGCTACCTCAACATTGGATAATGAAAATAACTTGTTGTCTGTGTCGAGTTCACTCGAACTCAATCGAATTGCAGCAAGTTGTTTCATTTCAGTCATTAGAGAAACGAACATTGAAAAGGATCTTTTGAAAAAAGTTGTCACATCCATTAGTACCCTGTCTAGAGAAGCAGGATATAGAGGAACAAAACTTAATCACTCGTTTGAGTTGTCGACATTGCTTGGCATTTTGAGTTATGTGAAAAAGGAAGAACTTTTATCAGAGTACAAGGATGTTCTTTTAATTCAATTATTGAAGATTATTCAACAATTGACTGTTGATTTGTCCACCAAGCAACTTTATTACAATCTCATCGATCATTGTATCCGCTTGTTGAGAGTACTACAACCCACTCCTCCTTCAGAACAGTTGGATTTTGAGCAATTTGGAAAACTCTTCATTCTCATTACCAAACAAGAACAACAAATTGAAAGAGAAAATCCACAGCTGTACTCGATTGAAGCATTTGAAGAAAATGCTTCATTCAATGGAATTGGAGTTCAAATCAGTCAAACCAGTTCAAGAAATCAAACGTTGACCGTTGAATCGTTGCCTCTCTTTGCCAATCAGTATATTATTTTATTGAAATGCATTTCAGAGCTTGAGATCTCCAGCTTTGTTTGTTTACGTGTCATGATTCGTTTGGTTGGCTCATTGGAATCCTTGTCTCCTGCAAAATTGGAGAAGGAATTCATGACCGAAGAGAACAAGAGTCGACTTCAAATGGTGACCGATCTTCTCAAGAATATCATTTCCCTAGTATCGAAACCAGTAGTGCCCAATGAAAACGAAAGTCAACTCTCTTCAAAGGAATTGAAGAAAATTAGGAGAAAGTCACTGAGAAAATCGATATCCATGTCCACCCGTAGTTTTGAAACCATGGAGGCTGTATTTAATGCTTCAAATGAAACCAAGAATGCTACAGAAGATTCTCGAAGAAATTCATTGAGAATGAAAAAGAGATCTTCATTGAGAGCCAATCCAGAAGATCTGTCACATCAATTCAAACAACCTAATTATGTTCAAATGTTAAATTATGGCATGTTTGATCAATATTCTGCCAATTATTGGAATGAACGAACACTCGACTTGTCCAGACAATTGTACTCGATGGTTATTGATGATGTGACCTCTGAATGGACAGACGAATTGAAGAATAATCCATTCAAGTTGTTTAATCCATTCTTTGTTCATTCCAAGCAAGAGGAAGCAGCTGCCGAAGAAAAGAAAGAAGATGATTTGACTCTCTCTTCCGATAGCGATTTGTCTGATATTTCCTCATTGGACAGCGAAGATGAAGACAATGGTGCCGAGACTCAGTCGCAACACATTCGCAGAATTCACAGAAAATCTGGAACAAATAAGGAATTTGTTGATTTACTGTTGAGAAAGAAACAAAAGGATCACATGAAGCGAGAACAACAACAAGCCAACCCTTTGACTACCATGTGGTCATTCTATGATGATTCGACTCATTCATTCTCTGCCAATGACTTTTATCGATTAGTGTTTTCTGATGAATTGTTGCGTGACAATGTGTATGATGTCATTACTCAATCGGTCACTTCTACCAAAATCTCACTCTCTCAATTATTATCAGATAAGGAGTTGAAATATTTATTTATTGGAACCATTGGACTGAGAATTATTAACTTGATGAAATTGAGCGAATTTGGTGCCTCTCAAATCATTCCTCTCATCCATCAAGTGTTGAGCAATACCTTGTTTGGAAGTTATCGTGTGAACATGTTAAGTGTGAAGATTTTAACGCATCTCTTGGATTCAGTTCTACAAAAAACACTCAATCAAGGAACTGCCCTCCGTAGCGTTGCCAATAACAAATCCAAAGCTGAGGCATGGAAAGAGGTGCTTCACATTATTGATCAAATTTCTCAAATTATTCAACAAATGAATAACACTTTGAGATATCGATTGCAATTCCACTTTTCCAAGACTACTCCATTTTCGAGCGATGAGAGACACTTTTTGTACAATTATGTGAAATTGTGGCACACGATTGTGAACACGATTCGAAATGTTCCATTCCATTTATTGACAGATTCGAAAGATCACGATCATGAATTACTCAATGAGCTCTGCCAAAGTCAATTATTAAGTTTTTGGGTTCTACCTTTACCTGACTTTGCTGTCTTGCTTCGTTTACTGTATTATCATTCCATCACGGAACACATTCCAGATTCTGATGACACTCGTGACAATACTCTGTTTGGAAATTTGTACAGAATTCAATATTTGGAAGAATTGACATTACCACTTTATAGCGTGACCTCAGACAAACAAGAATTTTCTGGAATTTCCCTCTCCAATCCTCATGCACAATACATGAATCAGAAACGAAAATTGACCATGCTGTTAACAGAAATTTGTGGAGTCTATATGAGATTTGATCGCTTCAATTTGTACAACATGCTCGATTTCATTGTGAGATTGTCTCCCTTCACCAATGAATCTGGCAGCAGTGTCGAGAGCTCCAATTCGTACTACAGTGTGATTAACACTCCATCTCTAAGAAATTCATTGCTTGAACAAATTTTGAAAGAAGAATCTCTTGTCCGAAGAAGTTACTTGTTGAGTAAGAGTTTGAAAGTTGGAGATGTTGTGGCCTATGATCGTTGCACAATTAATCATCAACCATGCATGATTGTTTTATTCGAAAAGAAAATTGGAATTTATTCCTTCACTGAAAATGTGAATACTGGAAAAATGTTTTTATCCGAAACGTCCATGATGAATTTGTCACAAATTGAATCCGTGAGTTTAGCATCGCCCTATACTGGAAAGTATCTTCTTCTCAAAACATCCAAAGAACCGCTTTTCATGCAATTCAGTAATGACACTTTTTGTGCCAAATTGATTTCACAAATTCACAACAAGGGCAATTCTTTGGATATTTCCATTGATTGGAGACTTTTCAAAAGTTTACAACACATTTTTGCATCCGGTGTAGATGAACAATTATTATTTTTCAGTGAAGTATTGTTGGATATGGGCAATGGAAGTGGTGAAAAGAAGTGTTGTTTGGCCCTCTCTAATTATGCCATCTATTTTGTGAATGAGAAAATTTCAAGTGAGCTCAACGTGTCAACAAGCACCACAGGTGTGAAATCAAGTGCTTCTACACAAAATCTCGTCGATTATTCCTCACTCATTGAAAAGATTTGTCAATTTGAAATTAATGAATTGTGGATTGATTACAAATCAGTACAACAAACGACACCAACGACCAAAGTGAAATTGAACAAGAATTTGGACGGAACAGACAATTCCAAAGCATTGCCAAAGAAGGAAAGCATTTATTGTACTTTTGCAAGTGATTTTGCCAAGATTTCATTCATTGCCAATCTTTCTGCCTACCAATCGTCCTATCAATCGTTACAAGCTTAATAAATACAAACGAATTGAATATTTTTGAGTGATCAATTCAAGAAAATGCTTTTATGCCATGATGAATGCAATCAATCGGAGTTTGTCTTTCTCTTATTATCCGTACATGATGATTTAGTACTTCATGAAATTTCATGAAAGGATCTCGTTTTTGCATCCAAATTTCAACACCGAGTGTTATTCCTCCTCATGTACTGTGTTTTCCTTTCAGAAGAGATGATGAGAATATCTCTGGCTTCCAGTATGGAAGACTTCTCTCATCAAGCACGTTCATGAACATCTCGCCTTCCATTTGAATACATACAAATGGCCATCAACCAAGCATTAAAACAACAACAACAGCCATCACTAAATATCCACTCGAGATGACACTATTGCATCTACAGATTGTCCTTTTTGTGTTGTTGCAGAATTGAAAAAGTTTCGTCATTATCATCATGTGGTTCGATTACTCCCTATTCCATCAAAATCATTCCATTGCGGATGCACCTCCTCATCCCACTGCACTCTGCCATCCATTGCTCTTTCTATTGGGAAGTTTGAGCCGAGACTATCCCTCAAATAATCCCTTCAACATTTCGATTCCTCCCGACAGCAATTTTCAAGTCCTCATGAACACGAGCACTCTGATCCCTCATCCCATTCCTCATCAACCATGTCCCGATACCATTTTCAATGCCATCATCGCTTCTGTGTTTGTTCTTCTTGAATTGATACTCACGATTAGCACTTTATCGCTCTTGATTTGGAAACGTCATCATCCCCATATTGAAAAGAGAAATCTGGGCTATCTGATCATGCATACCTTGACAAGTTTTGTGGTTGGCTTTTTGGGATGTTTGAGGCTCCTTATTGGAAGGAAATTATTTCCGTGTGCCATTCACATGTGGTTATCTTTCATGTTTATACCAGCGCTGTGTTTGGGACCCATGGTGCGATGTTGGCGTGTATTTGCACTGTACAGAATGAATTTGGAGAGAAAAAAGTTGTATCAGAGTCGAACCACCATGACCTCATTGACGACCACAACAGTGGCAGCAACGGAAACAGCCATAGAGGATGATACTGAGAGGGATGGTACTGTTCAGGTTCATCATGATTCCACCACAAATTCTAATCTATTCAAAGAATCACTAACGGCAACTACTCTGCCAACAGGGAGTCACTGTAATGACAACACTGGTGGTGAACATTCAGTTGGTTTGACCATTCATGCAAATAGTGGTGCGATGGAGGAGCTGAAAATTTCTACCGAATGGGATTCTAATAAGGTAACAACACAAGGTGGAAGCATGGTAGTGGCTATGTCTCCTCGCTCGCCTGGTGACATGTCAAATTTTAGTGAAGTAGCATTTCTTTCAGAAAATACTACAGATCAACGTTCAAACATGCTTGAAAATTGCTCGAACTCTACTGCCGTAGCAGTAACGACAACTCATAACTTGTCTTACCAAAATCCTCAGAAGCAAACAAACGCAAACATGATGGAAAGTATTAATGATTTGACAGCATCCAACTTGGCAACTATTAATACTCGAAAAATTCGAATTTATTCATGTCTCACAAGCACATGGTTTTTGTACATGATTTATGGAGTTGCGTTTTTTGTACAATTTCTCTTGTGGGTTTTTTTTGGTGCTATCGATGAGGTCTTCTTTGTTACTTCCAACTTTCGATATCTCACCACTGATAATGCTGGTAGTTTTGATTTTACTACAGGATGCGTACAACAACCTAACGCGGCCATTATTTTAATTACCCTTACGACCGTATTTTTAATATTGGAATTTATTGCCATGATTTTATGCTTCCTCTCCCAACGTGACACTTATCATATTAAGGTAGAAACATTAATCATCATTACCGTTCAAATGACCGTGATGACCATGTATGTCATTTGCGGCACTTGGACATTTTACAAGAATTTTCTCGATTATTTTGTTTCGTATGCCTTTTTGCCAATGACAAATTTAATTTGTGAAGTCTTTGTGGGAGTGACATTGCCAGGATGTTATGCCATTTATGAAGACCATTTTTTCACTGACTCCAAAGCAACGAGGAAGAGAAAGCAATCAATGATAACGAACGAACCCGCATCAATTCAAGGTAATGAACACGACATGGAACGTTGCATGATTGAGAAAATTCTCAAAAACAAGAAAACATTTGAAATGTTATTGGAATTTGCAAAACGATCGTACTGCCCTGAGAGCGTGTTGTGCTATAAGGACATTGAACAATTTAAATCAAAGATGACCTCTCAAAAGAATCGAAACAAAATTGGACTATTTATTGTGAGAACTTACTGCATGCCTCATTCGCCGGCTCAATTGAATTTACCTTCGAATTTCATGACACAAGTGAAATTGTGGCTGGAAAAGTTGGAATATAACAATGGTATAGTGGAGAGTACCATGTTTGATTCTCTGCAACAACATTGCTTGAATGATTTAATTGATGTCTTTGAACGTTGGAGGTGGTCGAGTAAGGAAGTAAGGGAAATGTGTCGAGAATTGGCTCCACCACAACGACCCGTTGGAAAATAGTAACGTTTGAAACCTCGTCCACTCGTCTCCTTACTTTGAAACAAGGTGGCGCTCAAGAAGCAGTTCCATTCTACAAGGTGTTGACGATGCCCTTTTCAACTCAATCAATATATGAGGCTCTATGAAATTAAAGAGGTATAATGATGACAAAATACGTGACCACGTCCGAATTCCCTGAGTCAAAAATGCAAAGGCGGAGGTTTTTTCGAAAGGGTGTGCGAAATTCTCCTCTCTTCTCGCGACAATTACTCCTTCTTGATATCCTATTGGTGTGACGAATTAAAAGACAACGAAGGACTTTATTGCAACTCAACAAAAAACACAAACTTCGAGTCCAGCACTGAGTATTCAATATTCGATATTTGAAAATTTTCCATAAATAGCCCATTTAAGATTAATTAAAAAAAAGCGTCACACATTAATCATGGTGGAAGCGACCACTCACAACAAGCCCTCCGTGGCATCCTCTTCAAAACATAAAGGCAGTTGTTTCCGATGGTTGATATCCTTCTTGGAAGCTCCTCTCACAGCTCTTCTTGCCTTCATTTTGAATTGGGTAGATTATCTTCTCTTTCTGATCATGTATCATTGGCATGGAAAGACGTATTTGGTTCATGATTTGAGAGGAGACATGGATTCAAGTTTATTGGCTGCTCCCTATTTTCCAACGAGTCATTCGACTAAGATTGTAAGTAGTAACAGATTCATCATGATTGGTGTTGTGTATATATAATAATAATATTATTATTATTATTATTGAATACATTCCGATGTATTGTATCATTGATCATTTGATTTTCATAATTACTTGTTCAACACTTGTTGTTCCTTTGGTTGAATTGATCAACAAATTCCGAACCATCGATGATTTCTTTGAATGATTTTCTAGAAAAATCCAAAAGAATACTTTGATATGGAAAATAAGAGTCCTATTTATCGTCATTTGATGAGTCACACTCGTGATGGATCATTGGTTGAGAAGGAGAGCGTTCTCGATGAGTTACTTCCACCCTCTACACGTGATCAATTATTTCATCAAGTCGATGAACAATATTTGAAGGTCAAACACTTGTTACAACAATTGGCAGAAAAGGAAAATATTTCTAATTTGCAACATGTGGACACTCCTTGGAAAAATCTTGAATATCCTGATTTTCAATTGACACAAAAAGATCAACGACTAGTTCCAGAAACTCTCTTTCAATACTTTAAACAATGCATGAATCATTACGCTGACAAACCATGTGTGGGACAACGAGTACTTCGAAAAATGCATTCGAAAGAAGTCAATGCTGAAAATGGAAAGAAGAAAGTTTGGTACACTCCTGAATTTGAGAATGAAGCAGTGATTTATACATATCGTCAATTTGAAGAACGAGTCGATGCTTTGGCAAGAGCCATGCAAAAATGTTTCAATTTGGAGAGCAGTGGAGGAGATTTGGACTTTTTCACCTTTGATGACGACCAATCTGTGAAGGAAAGTGAACAAACTCGAAATAGTCGATTTGCAATTTATGACGATACTTCCTATGAATGGTTTGTTACAGCATTGGCTCTCTTCCAGCAAAATGTATCCATTGTAACTGTCTATGCAAGTTTAGGAATTGATAGTTTGATTCAAGCACTCAATGAATCCAAAGTCTCTGGTGTCATGCTTCATTTCAGTTCCCTGAAAGAAGTAGTTCCAAAAATTGCATCCCAATGTCCTCGTGTCAAGTACATTTTATACAATTTAAGAATGTGTGAAAATAGCAGTGACGAAGTCGAACGAAGAGAAAAGTTATTGAATGAACTCACACAAAAATATGGACAACATCTCGTTCTGACCAATATTGAAGAAATGATTGAAATGGGACTTCAAGATTGTCGAAATCAACAACATGTTTCCTCAACAACAACAACAACAGAATTTAAAATCAAAGGCAAACCTCACACCAGTAAGGACGTGTGTATTTTAATGTACACATCAGGATCGACCTCAGCACCCAAAGGAGTTCTTTTGACTCATCATAATTTATTATCAGCCATTGCTTCCTTCAATGTGTGTCTCGGTGTGGAACGTTCATTGGAATATATTCATGTTGCGTATTTACCATTGGCTCATATTTTAGAAATTCTCGTTCATAGTATTATTTTCCTTCGAGGAGGAATGATTGGATACTCGTCGGCACGAACGCTCTCTGAAGGCACATGCTTACCGTGTGGTGATTTGAAATTCTGGAGACCTTCCTTACTCGTAGGAGTTCCCAAAGTGTTTGACACGATCAAAAAAGGTGCACAATTGCAACTGCATTCCATTGCTGAAAAACGAGGACCTTTCTTGGGTTGGCTTGTGAATACCTTGTTCACAATGGCGTATCAATGTAAACGAAATGCTCTCAAGATGGGTCGAGACACTCCTTTTTGGAATTGGCTCGTCTTTAAAAAGTTTACAGATGGAGTAGGAGGACGATTGAAACTCATGCTTTCAGGAGGTTCAGCACTCATTCCTGAAACTCAGGAATTTCTTCGAATTGGATTTAATTGTGTCTTTATGCAAGGATATGGTTTGACAGAGACATGTGCTGGCTCCACCGTGTCCAATGCCTATTTCCCATTTGAAACTTGTCATTGTGGACCACCAGTGCCATGTGTTGAAATTCAACTCGTCGATGTTCCTGAAATGGGTTATACTCATCGAGATTTACCAAATCCAAGAGGAGAATTATGGGTTCGAGGAGAAAATGTCACACTCGGATATTACAAGCAAAAAGATTTAACTTTGGAAGCCTATGGAAAATTACCAAATTTCGATCAAGAGAGCGAACCGAATTCCTTTTTCAGAACTGGAGACATTGTAGAAATTTTACCCAATGGTTTTATTCGAGTGGTGGATCGTGTGAAAAATTTAACCAAACTTCAACATGGTGAATATATTGCATTGAACAAGTTGGAAAGTATTTTTGCAGATTCACCCTATATTCAACCGAATGGAATTTTAGTGTATGGAGATTCATTTAGAGATTATGCAGTTGCTTTGGCATTACCTCAAATGAAATATTTGGAATCAGTGGCACGTGAAAAGGGAATTGAATTTCATTCGAATTTGGATTTGATTCAAAATCCTCAACTATTGAAACTTGTTCTGAGATCGTTGGATGAATTGGCAGATCAAGCGAAATTGGCATCGTTTGAACGAGTGAAAAAGATTTATCTATGTGAAGAGGAATGGACGGTCGAAAATGGCCTATTGACAGCCACACAAAAGTTGAAACGACATGCCATTGTTGACAAGTACAAACGTCAAATTGAGAACATGTATCAAGAATAAGGATTTTTTCAATGGCGATTTTACTCTAAGGACTCTTAGAGAGTACACAGTGAATAAAAGGTTAATTGGATTTCAATGCATGCCTTCATTCTTTCAAAATATGAAACATCATTTAAAATTAGTCTCGACCTCTCTTTGGTCTTTCTTTGCAACATGATGAGTTTGCGTTGTTGTGAATTGTTGTGTGAGTTCATGTTATTTGAATGATATTTTGAAGAAGGTGCATTTGGAACAAATCTAGTTGAACATTGGAATAGGACTGGCTGATCGCAAACATATATATGTCTTTTTCATTAAGAAACTGTAAAACATGGTCTTAGAATGTGATTATTGTCAGTGTTTCGATTTGGAGGATTTGGGAGAGAGATGTTTATTGTTTGTGGTGCTTATGGAATGGTTGGTCAATGAATGTAAAGACAAAGACGTTATCAGCAAAGAGTGGGATGATTTGAAAGGAGTGGCAGAGACCTGGGATGAAGGAAAGACATCACATAACGAAAATGCATCGAACAGAGATATAAATCAATCATCCATTGCAAATGAATTGTCTGGAAATCCACGTGTTTCTCTCCCAGCTAGACCTTATGTCATTTATACATCTCAAGTCATTATTCACGTTACTCTCAACACAATGCCTCAAGAATCTTTGCATTATTGTTTGTGAATTCTCTTCGATAGTTGGTAATTCGGAAAAGGAATCTTCTCCTTGTCCTTCAGAGACTCTGAGATCTTTGTAAAAACAGGTTTTAACTCTTCTCCCTTATCTAAGTTAAATTTGTCATGAGAGTGGAAAGAAGTTTGACGTTTGTTCTGTTTTTGTAAACTACGTGTCAGATAAAGATATTGAAACGTTTGAAAAAATTCTTACATACTCGCTGTAAACATTGCAGAAACCTTCAGAGTTTGAGTAATACAGTTGCCTCTACCTTTTTCACAGCCAAACTGAACATACGTTTGACAAGATCATAAGACCATGTTGTAATATTGGTGGATGGTACCGAATACGTAAGGACACATTAAACTTTGAAAAATTACGAAGGCTGCACGAGTTTGTGTTAAAGAATTGTTTTTCTCTAAGAGTTTTGATAATCACTTCATGAAATGTCGTTGTTGGTATTTATTCTATATCGATAGGACCATTCACCAAATGATCTACTCTTGATCGACGAGACGAATCAACACATCCGCATGTTCAGGATCCAATTCCTTGGCTTGCTCTAAAAACTGAGCATCTTTCAATAGACTTTTCACAGCAGGATCAATGAATCGAAATTCCATCGATTCCAGTCCATATCGTTTCACAGCTGCCAACGCAAATTCCCTGTCGTTTTTCAATTCATCCGATGCATAATAATACGCTGCTGAGCACAATTGTAATGCTTGCAGCATGAAGCATTTGTTGTTTCGCAAAGTCTTTGAAACATGTCGAGGCATGGTACCACCGAGTTCAATGGTTTTCAACACAAAGTGTTCGTCTTCAAGTAAGGTTGGAGATATTAAATCAATGATTCGAGGATGACCTTGTTGGAGTGCTTTCAAAACGAAACTTTGGTTGCTTAAGAGTTTTGGTGGAATTTCATCGTATTGGCCGTCTTGAGTCAAGTAGAATTCATTGGCAGCATAACGTAATTCTTGTTTCTTTCGACTGAATATCTTGGGTTTGTATTTGGACGATATGAATATGTTGAAAAACATGTTTTTCAGGGAGGGTTGTGAGTTGACAATTTTTTTATGAAACAGTGTGAGTGGCAACTTGTTTTTCAAGATGTCTCTTGTCTGTACAAGAACTTGTAAAAATAAATCGTGAAAGTGAAAATATTAGTCTAACTTTTTTTCACAACAACACCATCACGCTCACGTTTGTTTCAATAAATAATAATTTATAGCACGTAAAATTATTTCTTCTTTTGATTTCCTGGTGGATCCATCATGATTTGTGCCACTTCCTTGTTCACGAATAATGAGCTATAGTACTTGTCAGTTTCAAGAGTTGATTTGTATCTCTGAGCAAGTTCCGCAATTAGACTCTTACGTTGCAAATAAGGTCGCATGATACCTGTGGACTTGGCTCTACTGATTCTTGATCCGTTCAGAGCGGTCATTCGAATCAAAGCACCAGCAACTTTCTCACTCAAAATCATACCGTCAAGGACTGGACCAAACACTGGATAGGTTCTCTCCTTGACCATCACGTCCACTCTTATCAAGCCCTTGTGTGTTCTGTTCAATGGATATAATACAATGTGAACAAAGTTAAATTGAGAAATGATGGTATTTCTGTAATAGTCACGAGTATGTTCGGACCAAATAACATTCACATGGTCATTTCCGACGTGTCTCTTCTTGTGAATTTGTTGTGGGTCCTTAGGATTATTTGGCATCATGGTAGGAACGTGGAACATGAGTTCAGTTCTGTAATCAGCATAATATGGAGCATTGACACCGGTAGATCCATTCTTGTCCAATCCACCCATGAATCCCAAGTGATCTTGAAGATTGACCGCCCATCCTAAAGAATTGATAAATGCATTGTATTGGTCACTTCCTTCGACGTTCAAGAACAAATCTTGTTGATCGTCTTGACCTTCCTTCACATAGACAACCGCAACTTTGTGCGTCTCACGAGGCTGAGTACCATCCAAATTACGTAAACTTCTCAAAAGTTTGCTATTGCTTTGAAGTGGAACAAATCTGCTGGTCAATGCAATGTGGACAAGACCTATGGAGGAGAGCAATAATCGAGTCATGCTTGCCTTACAATCACCACCATACTTGTATCTCATATTTGGCTCACGGCATGAAATGTCATATGAAGTGTAATCGGCAGCAACTTGATCCAAGAAATTGGCTTCATTATCTTCCTCTTCATCAATCATTTGATCGAAAAGTGAGACAGTGTCTCTCTCTTTGAGTGGTCGATCAATATGGAATTGCATCAATGTGCCATTTTGCTCAGCCTCTGGAGTTTGGTTTAGCAAACCTTCGGTAAGAACACTACCAGTGTAAATACCTCGTTCCTCAATTTCACTGTATGGTTGTGGAATTTCTCCATACAAGACACGAGAATCCCACGAGTGTTTACCAGTCAAATCTCTCATGACGACGGTAACACCTGGACCTCCCTTTTCATTTGGTTGTTCAATCAAACTGAGAACATACTGATTGTCGTAAATGTAGAATCGAACGTAATTGGAGTTTTCTGGTTCCAAGTCATCCAAGCATTGAGTTTCCTCAGATAAAGTGGTGTGAAGAGCGGCATTATTGCTTGTGGTTGGGAAGTGAGAGACATGATTCATTAAATGAGACAAGACAAACTCGGCAGAAATTTTGATATTCTCAATGTCATCCTTTGTGAAGCTTGTGCTTTGACTAGTGAGAGCAGTTCCTGTTGTGGATGCTCTTGGATTGCTTTGAGGACTCTCAACGCCTGCACTAACGCCTCCAGGAACACCGACATGCTTCACAATGTTTAAACCTTGATCGACTGCAAAAATTACTTTGGTAACGCTTTCCTTGTTGGAAAGAATGACTGAAGGACCACACATGATCCAATCACACATGCTGTAGAAGGTTTCTTCAATGAGTTTGGCGCTAGTTTGATTTTGCTTGAGCAAGGCAACTTGCATTGGAATGATGGTACTCAATTGGAAAACAATTTCACGAGAAATCATTGGTTCAGACTCAGCAATTTGAGGATATAAATTTGTCAATGCACTCAATGCTTCATAGATGGCAATAAAAACTTCAGATGGATATTCCTTGAGTGGCTTTGGAGCATAAGTTTTGACAATATCTAACATGTTTCTAATGAAAATCACTGCAATTTCTGCATTCTTGTCAATTTCTTCATAAATTAAAACTACAATCACCCAAATGATATATTGCAAGTTCTTTGGATTCTTTTCTGATTTCAATGCCTTTTGCAAAATTGATTGAATTTGGAATTTGAGCTCGCTGTAAACATTGGCTTGGCCAGAATATTCTTCAGCAACGCCTTGTGTAGCAAAGTGGTTTGGGAAACAAACCAAACTTCCAAGAATGGTGATGCATGCTTGACGAACTTCGGTGTTGTACTTGGAATTTTGTGCCGACTCTTTTCCTGAAGTGGATGCAGCTCCTCCCAAAATCTTGTCACAAACCTTCATGTAGTAACGAATGAGGATATGAGAACCAATCAACTCTTCATAACAGAAAATCTTCTTACTTCCCAATAAAATGGCAATCACAACAATTGGGTCCTCATCTTCCAATCCAGAGCAGAGAGCCTTATAGAAGAGTGACAAGTATCGTGTGTGAATTGGGCTACCTCCCTTTCTACAGAATATCTTACACAAAGCACTATAGGCAACGGCACGTCCTTGATTGAAGTTACTTGCATTTTCACGGAAAACAGCTTCAAAATACCATTGACCGAAAATGTCCAAAATAGAATTGGCATCTGGTGCGTATGGAATACGGAAATCGATTTTTTGTTCCTTCAATTTCTTGATTGGAGGATCAGTACCGACATAGGCCAAACTGTGTGTAATGACTTCAATTCCTTGGAATGCTTTGAGGTGAATTTCTGGGTCAACCAACTTGTTTGGATTACCAATAATATGTAAGAATTGATTCCAAGCATAGTAAACATATTCATCTGGTAAATCCAACTCTGTAGTTGAGTTTCCAACATTTGGATTTGGATTGTTCTTTGGATTGAGACCTTCCCATTGAATTCTCACCACACTGGTACCTTCACTAGGACCATACAGCAAGTTAATAACACGATTGGTCAAACCAATACAAACACTATTCCACTGATTGATGGTTGCATTATTCTTGGACCACAAAATTCCATGTTCTTGCAAATGACGCCACATGGTCTTATCATCGGACAAGGAACACAACCACAATTCAAACAAGACTTTCAACAATCCATACGACAACTCTGGAAGACCTCTCTTTCCTCTCAAAGTCGAGTCCGTAATTCCCAATATAATCTTCAAAATATGATTCCAAGTTTCCTCCTCCAACATATCCCCCTTCACTCCCATCTGAAGGAAAATGTCCAACACTCGATTACATAGATGAATATGATGTTTCTTCTCTTCCTGAGATCCCGAACCTCCAGTTCCCAATGTACCATCCAAACCACGTTCCTCAAACAACAATGAGAAGTGATTGAAAATTTGCTGAACAAAGTACTGTAAATTTTCTTGGAGAGGAGCGGGACGTTGAGCCTCTTCAAAGAGCCACTTGTTATAGACATTGATGGCCCGATCAATGGTTTGATGATCTGCAATGGGTAATTGGAAGGCATGACCTAAGACTTCCATGACCCATTCGACGTGAGAGGTCGTGGTGAGGTAGTTTTTAGCTGTTGCATTCTGTTGATTGAAATAATCAGTGATGGAGGAGATGACTACACGTTTCACGTCGAGTGGGAAGGATTTGAGAATGTTTTTAGTGGGATCCGAGCGGATGAGTGCTAATTCATCAATCCAACCTAATAACATGTTGTTGTTGTTGTTTTTGTAGAATTATATAATGATGATGAATATGAAATTGATGATGAAAAAAACGAGTAATGATGATTAGAGAACTCGCTTTGGATATAATAACAATAATAAATTAGGGAAAGAATAAATAATAATAATGATGGAGAGCCGAGTCGGTGTACTCTTTTAAACACACACCAAAATTCGCAAATGGGATGATGATGTTCTCTCACGCACACAACAAGTAATGATGATGTCGGCGAGAGAGAGAGCGTGTGTAACGAGAGAGTTGAGAATAATTTTTTGTTTGTGAAAAATCATCAAACGTCAGTATGTTCCGTTCAAATGTTGTCAAAGGATTCGATCTTTTGAAAGACAAAGAGATCATGGTCATGCATATACATTCCAATCTTCTTATTTCGTATACGAGTGTAAAGGTCTATCATACGTTGTTCAATAACTTTATTTCGGAGATTGTACAACTCCGAACTTCCCGTAGCTCCCTATTTTCATCTCTTTTTCGTCCACACACGACATTAAAAAAATGATCAAATCAATTGCCTCATTCTTTGTGGTCGTTCTTTTCATTGCCTCCTTGTCATTGTGCTTGGATTTCACTCCTCAATCCACAACTCCAGAAACCATCTCCGAATGGCAAAATTACTTCCTTCGACTGATCCATCAAGTGAATTCGATCGATTCGACTCGGCAACCATTCAACACGCCAGGACGACTCGGTCGAACTTGGTTGGCTGCTCCGAATCGGTTCACACAATTTCCACAAAATTATTTAAAATTAATTCAAAATCGTGGCATGTTGTCGAGTCGAAAAGATTTGATTGAAAAATTTTCTTTGTTTTCGATCGATCAAATTGGAAAATTTGGTTTTGAGCATTTGAGAGTGGTGAATGAATTATTGAAACGAGCAGAACGAAATTCGGAGGAAATTGAAGAATTTAGAAATAATGTTGAAGAATTGAGAAGGATACAACTTGAGAGGAATATTCCAGAGACATTTGACAGTCGAGTACAATGGCCTTCTTGTATTCATGTATGTTTTTTTAGAGTTTCATTAAGGTAGTAATGGCTGAAATTATCATATTATCTTGGTGTAAATTAATTTGACATTTGACAGCCCATTCGAGATCAAGGAAATTGTGGCTCCTGTTATGCTTTTGCTTCAACTGAGGTCATGAGCGACCGATTTTGTATCTTTTCAAATTCAAGTGTGAACGTGGTCCTCTCTCCTCAAGATTTAATTTCATGTTCTTGGTATTCGTAAGTGTACTAATCATGTGGATGAATTTAATAATTATGATTTGGAATTTTTCAAATTTGAAATTCAATGAACTATTTTCCACATGAATGATTTCATGGAATTACATGAAATTCATGTTATTGAAAATTTATTTTTTCAAACGATGTATTATTGAACATCACACAAGATTTGGATGTGATGGAGGAATTCCTGGTCTCGTATTTGATTATATTCACAAAGATGGAGTCGTGTCAGATGCATGTCTTCCTTATTTATCCTATAATGGAAATACAGAACATCATTGTCCTTCGTATTGTTTCAATAACTCTTCCAAATTATTGAAAGATGACAAGTATTTTGCAAAATCTGTCTATCATGTTGGATCTTTTATTGAAAACAAGGAAGAACGAATGGTAGCCATTCAACAAGAAATTTTACAAAACGGACCTGTGAATGCAGATTATATGGTCTTTCAAGATTTCATGACCTATAAAAGTGGAGTGTATCGACATTTGACAGGAAGCTTTTCTGGAATTCACGCTGTGAAAATTATTGGAGTAAGTGTTACGAAACGAGTCGTGAGTTACATTTAATAATTTACAATTTAAAATGGAATTCATTGAAATTTATGAAATTGTGAACCAAGTGGGGTGTGGAAAATGATATTCCTTATTGGTTAGTTGCAAATAGTTGGGGAACGAATTGGGGTTTTGATGGTGGTCACTTTAAAATTTTGAGAGGTCATGACGAATGTGGAATTGAATTCTCAATTTATACGCTGCTTCCAGCATTGTAAGGTAAAGATGTGATTCTTCCAATATAGATTAATCATACACACGGTCAGATTAATAATTCAGCATTGCAATTATGTGATTTCAATAAATTATATTGACAGTGCGACATACCTTTGTTTCACTCTTTTCCGTCAACAACTTCCCTGTCTTTTTGTGATAGGTCTTGTTTTTCGAGACTTGAAAGAGTCTCAAAACACTCATCACAGATCGAACAACGATATATTTTGAAAATCTTGGGACCTACCAACTGGTGAGTCAGGTGGGCATGATGAGTTGAGAGGGAGGTGATTCCTTTCTTGAGTTGAACTGAATTTTGCTCTAAATATGCAATTCTTTCCTGTAAAATCAATAACAGAAAATTTTTCAAAAACTAGAAAGTTTCTAACCATATCTTCAGGAGAACGTTCTACGCATTTGGATGTCACTTGTCTTTGATAATCAGACACAGGTCGCTCCTGTCATGGCAGGAAGAGCAAATACCTCTCTTTACACATTTCTTCTTATATGCCTCGTAATGCAATTGTTTTACATTATTCGCTGGAGGCCATTGTGTCACACCACAATGAAACAAGTATGCATAAGCATCCACTGCAGAAATTCTGTAATATTCTACAGCTCTTTTGGATCCATCAACACGTCCATCACATCTCCTCCTTCTTTCATCTTTTTGGTTGATGATGGACGTGTTGATGGATCCAAAAGAGCTGAATCCGAGTCTTCAGAGCGGAGGATTCATATTAATGATTGATTGTTTGTTGAGAGACGATGGATTTGATGAAGCCTTGGATGAAGAAGAGAATGAGCGCTGTTTTGTCATTGACGAAGAGTACTTGAATGTAGTGTGTTTGTTTTTTTTTAAATTGTGTTTAGGCTTTAGATACCTCTACTAGGTGGTTGGCAGAATAAGGCTTGTCTTGATATACAACGATTTCAAAAAAAATGTGACTTAACATCTTTTCTCTATCACTTACATCTTACTGAGAGAGTGGTGCTCCAGCATTGTAAGGTAAAGATGTGATTGTATTGTCAAGTGATAAAAACACAAATTTGACATTTGACAAGCACAAATTGATCTATAAAAACATTGTTGAGCGTAATCTTTATCAAATAATAATTTAATGTGCAGAACAAAGGTAGGAGAAACGTTTGTTGAGTCACATGTTGTTTAGCTGTTGGACAAATCCGATGATTAATAGTACTCTGAAAAATCCAATAAACGTTCCTTGACAATTTCAAAAAATCGTTCCTTATGAATGGATGTTGCGCACCATATCTTAATCCTATTGGATTTAGATGAACTATATTCTGTTCTGATAATTTCACAATTTTCTTCATGACCATTATTAGAATAATCATTGTTCTCATTCTGAGCTACTAATTGAATGACTCCTTCTAATGGATCTTGTCCAAATGCTTGAATTTCCACTTGTTGAAAAGTAAACAATTCTGGACAAAACATGACACATGATGTCGAAGTGTCGTACGAAGTAGATTCCAGAGTGACCAATAATAATTCATGTCGGATTTTAACAATTGGAGGTAATGACTTCTCGTATGGAGTTGATATAATTTCTTGCATGACTTTTAAATTGTCTTGCGACACGACTGTTAAATTGGCAACTGACAGTTCAAATAAAAGAATTTTTTCTGACAAGGTCTCCAACACAATTTTAGCAGCCTCACCATCGCAGAAAAAGTTCCATTCACTTCCATTCTTTTCATTTTCAGGTTCTTTCACAAACAATGCTCCTCCCATAATGATTACCATTTTCAGCTTTTTCTTCACAAGTTCCGAGTTCTTTTTACATAACTTTGCCAAATTTGTTAATGGACCAATGCTGAACCATGTGTAATAAGAATCATGAGGAGCTTGTTCCAATAATTTTATCATTTCATCTTCATACTCTTTTTCTGGAATGACTGGCAATAATCCAAGTTCAGTGTTCACTTTAGGTAATTGAATTAAATCTGCCAAATCTCGATGAATTCTATAAAAGTCATAATCTTGAAACCATTTGGCTTCGGAAAAACAATGAGAACTCTTTTCATTAGAAATTCTCTCACTCGATCCCATAAATAATTGACAATTGGCAGGTAAAAAATTAGAAAATTGTTGCATGCGTTGAATCAAGTCAATTCCACGATCCAAATGAAGTTGCATCCCCTTCACCAAACTAATTGCACAAATTTTCATATTTGGATTTTTTAAAGTGGCAGCTGTCAAATTGGTGATGGCAAAAACATCATCGGATCCAAGATCCGTATCGATAATGACATGATGATTTTGCTGATACGGTAACAATGATTCATGTAAGAGAATGGGTGGAACGGGAGAAGGTGTTTGCGACATTTTTTTTTGTATTCTTTAATTTTATTACAATGAACATTAAATTGGTCTACCGCATGGATTTGGTATTTGAACTAAAAACTAGTGCGAGTTCTTATTTGGCCAACGATGTGTCATGTGAACAAGTGTATGTGAAAATCCAATACACAACAACGTAATAGGACTTGTCACGACACAAAGTGTTGAAATGATTTGAAATCGTTCGAGTGAAACCTTGTCGTATGCGAAACGAATCAATTTAAAATTCTCTTATTCACACTCTCGAGTCTTCCCTCTCCATTAAAATAACATTCATGAACAGTTGTAATAATATATGGTTTGCCAACATTGGTTGGACATTCTTCCTCTAATTTCATTTCCACTTTCACTCCGTATCCAAAATAATCGGGAATGGTTTTATAGATGGGTTCTTTCGATGTGTGTGGATTGTCTTTTTTGAAAGTTTCAAGACTCGATTTGAAAATGTGTTCTTTGGCGAGAGTGAGAGCGACATGACTTCGACCTGCTGTGGAAAAGTCATGCCAATCATGTTTTTGATAGTGTTCGAGGAGGGATTGAAGAGAGGAGGAACATGCTTCGGAAAGGAGAATAAAATTTGGGGCTGTGGAGGTGGAAGTGTGGTTGTGATCTGATGATGATGATGTCGGCTTGTTCGAATCGGCTGCTTCATCGCCCGGAGGTTGTGATTGAGTTGTGGGATTGTTGTTCGACATTTTTTTGGTTTGTGAAAAGTGACAATCCGTTTATTTCAGCGAGAGTTCGGCAGAGCTAGGTTCGAAATTACCTTAGAACGATCCTGTCATGACGAGAGAAATAGGTCGTAGCAAACTTAGAACTATATATGCCTAGGAGTATTGAACCCACTGAGAAAATGGAAAAGTTAAAATTGAGGTGAGGATGGTGGAGAACCAATGTCAACAAACACAGAATGAAAATCATCCTCGTCGTTATTCAAATCAATAGAAATATCGTCCACAGTGTTTTGGTCAGCAGTAACGAGATTAAGTGCTGTTGAAGAAGAGGTCGAATCGTATAACTTGGTGTCTGTTGGTGGAAACTCCTCGTGTTGATACATGTACGAATTACAGGAGTCAAAGAGATTGGTGTCATCATCTAGCACGTTATCTTCACCACACCTTTCATAATCCATCATGTCAGAAGAATTATCCACTCTATAGTTAGTAGAACGAATATAAAACTTTTGGAAAGTGTGTTTGGATGTCCATTCGTTGGTGAAAGTTGGCTCGTATTCATCATGACCATTTTCAAATAACATACAACTACTTGCAGGAGAATAGATTCTTCTTCTGAGTTGAGAGTAATCGTTGAACTCAACGTCCACCCTCTTGGAGTCTGGTTCACGAGCTGAGAATTCTCGCGAACTGTGAGCATGAAATGATGAAAGCGAACGTCCTCCAACATGTCCTGCTCGCCTCTTCAACCAGGATGATCTCTTTGCAACACCCTCATACGAAGGAGATGGCTGCTCATGCGAGTCACTACTTCTTCTGAAACGGAAAAAGTTGGAAGTTTCTGAGGCTCGTTGAAACAAGTGAGCATGCTTAGTCTCATCGTAGTTGGACTTCAGTGATCTCAAAGTGGCCCATAACTCTCTCAATACTGTCTTCTTCTTCTCTGTAAATGTTTGGTCTTGATTATGATGGTCCTTAGCCAATGATGAGTTCTTGGAGCTGTCCTTGAGCTTTGACGATGCGTTGTATGTAGGTGGCGCTTGGATTAAGATTTCGTCGAGAAGGGTTGTCTCAGAGTTTCGTTCAGCTTGTATTGGAGTTGAGAATCTTTCCTCTGGGTGGTTTGAATGTTGCAAAGGTAGTACTGCACGTACCAAGCTGTGATCTTGGCGATTAGTAGTATCTGTTTTACTTGCGCTAATTAATTCATCTCCGAGCTCAAATTTCATGCTGTGCTTGTTTGTCATGATACCTGATTTTGAAGGTTGTTTCTTAGGTTTCTTTTCATAGACCCGAAATGTTGCATTGAGTAATGATTATACATTCTTGGGTTACTTGCTTCAATGATAGATTGGCGATTGCAAATAATGATTGATTCTAACGTTTTGAATAAGGCTTGTAGTCTCGGGATCTCAAGTAAGGCTTGATGAAAACGCTTTGTAAGGAGTCGCTCTCTCGGGTTGATTTTTTTTTCTTCTATTTATTTCTCGCTTTATAACCCTGAAAGCCACTCAAATACAGAGAGATTAGTCTTTCTTGAGCTTTTCATTCAAATTCTCATCTTCTTGAGTGGCATTACTTGCTCGAGTACTTGTAGTGGGGGTAGTAGTGCTTGTATTGGCCGATGATGACGAACCTTCTTCTTCAATGGTTGTTGAGGGTTGCTCTTCTTGTTGCCGCTGTTCCTGAAGACGTTTTTCTTGTTCTTCTAATAATTTTCTCTTCTTTCTTAGAAGAAGTTTTTTACGTAGAGCTTGTTTGTCTTCTTCATGCATTTGTCTAAGCATTGGTATGACACTGTAAATGTCAAATGCCAACATTTGATGAGCGTTGATGAGGAATGAGAAAAAAATATTATTATTTACACCATCATCGGTCCGCACCAATCAAGAAATTGAATATTTCATTGAATAACAACAATGTAAAAATTCAATCATTGAATATGCAACGACAATTATCGATTTTCTATCAAACAAACAACTCGTACGTACATGAATAATGTTATACTCAAAGCCATTGTAATTAAAAACAAAATAGCGACATGATATTTAGCAATGGATGGCACATAATACATGAATACGAGACACACCAAAAGTGCCACAATGGAAGTCCATAGAACTTTGATAAAATTCGGATGAAGCGAGGAGCCAGGTTTTAAGATAAATCCAATGGTACCTTTCTTGAGAAATTCTGGTAAATTTGCGAGAGGATCTACATTGATGGGTGGATTGGGAGTGGTGGTTTCCGAGGTGGATGATGTGCTAGCTTGTGTGGTTGAAGTGTTTTCCGTGGTGGTTGTTTGTGTTTCCGATGATGACATTTTTTGAAAAGTGTATTTTGAATTTTTATTAATTTTTTCAAATTAATATTTAGTAATATTTTCAAAAGATTTAAACCAACTTGGAAACACATCTAGAATTGAGCAGGATTTAGAACTTTAAAAATCTTCTTCAAACACACGACGGTCTCATTCCAACATGTTCATACATATATAGGCAAGTAACTAACCGTTATTTTTTCAGAAAAAACACCAAAAAAATGGAGCCCGCCTCACCACCAACCAACATTAAGGCTTTGAATCAAAACGGCAACCTCACTCATTCCCGTCGTCAAGATCTTCAAAACAGTAGCAGCCCAAAACCTGCAACACCTCAAAGCAAGCAGAGCAGTTCCAAACAACAAAACAAAATGCTATCATCTGGTGGCTCAGCATTGAAACATTCCCCTTCATCGTCGTCGGGAAGAAAGGTACCCAACGACAGCGATCCTCCGACCTCTCCACCCCCAATAATTGTTGTAGGTGAAGATCTCAATCTTAGTACCTGCTCTGATGCCGATTCCGAAAATACTACCAGCAATCCTCTCCTTAATCCTAACAATCACAACCATCAAGTTACCGATACCAGCTCAACCACGAGTAGTAATGATGAAGAAATTTCGTTCAATTCACCATTGTGTAAGTTTTTGATCTGTGGGTTTTTAACGATTTTTTTCGTTTATCATGATAATATTACTATTGAAACGATGGTTGCACTATATACCTCAATATTGACTTGCACAGACGAGCAAGCACCACCAATTATTAACATTTGTGGACAACCAGGCATGCCCGGATTTCAAAATGGTGATCTCAATGAGGCAAGATTTAGTGATATACAAGGCATCATGATGCTTCCAAAGGACGAGTTTATTGGAGATTCCTCTTTCATTGTTGCCGAGCAGCATCAAATACGACTGGTTAACATGAAGCAAATGAACGTGTCAACCTTCTACTCAACCCAACTTCAAACTCCACGAGGAATGGCCATTTACAAGGGATCCATTCTCGTTTGTGATAGTCACCAGCACAAAATTAAAATGATATCATTGGATGGAAGAAGAATGACCACATTTGCTGGAACTGGACACCGCGGATGCTCTATTGGAAGAGTGAGTGATGTCATGTTCGACACCCCCACCGCCGTGTGTGTCGTTGGAGAAAACGTATTTGTTGCAGATACAGGAAATCATCGAATTGTTCGCATTAATAATGGATTTGCTTCCAACGCTGCAGGAACTCCAAAATCGCCAGGTTTTTTGGATGGAAAAGTTCAAAATACGCTTCTCAACTCTCCAACTGACATTATTGCCAAAGATAACGTATTATATGTGAACGATTTTGGCAATTTTCGTATCAGACAATTGTTTGCCAACTACAGTGATATGAGAACTGTTATCGAGAGCACTGAAAAGCTTTACGCCATGTCCGTGAACTCAGACGGAGAGCTTGTTTTGGGTACCCACAATACCCTTTACAAGTATAATCATGAAACCAAGGAAAGTTCCTCACTATTATGTGAAACACCTGAACCAATCAAAAAGGTCATATGTGCTTCTAGAAATATGTACGTGGTTGCATGTACAAACTCCATTCATGGTGTAGAAGATCGAAAACCAAGCACCAACGTCAGTACTTCCATGCTCGACCTCAAACATTTATCTAGGAAATTGAAGGCTACTCAAAATTTTTCATTCAACGCCTCAATACAAGAAAGTTGGAACAATGAAAGCACCTTTCAAAAGCCATCCTATTTTGAGCTCATTTATTGCTATGAGCAGGACTTGTTGGAAATATTCAGTTATTACTGTAACAATATCACGCATACATTTATGGACGTGAACGAAATGACAAGCAATCAATTTTTGAAATTGGCCAAAGATTGCAAAATTGTAGACAAAGTATTCAACACGAATGCTGTATTTCTCATTTATGAAGAGTCCACAAAATATTCTCCAACATTTAAGATGAACTTTGACGACTTTTTAAATGCTTTGGCTTTTATGGCAATTAGAAAGTATTCAAAAATTCAAATTAACAACATCTCTGATATGGCCAAACATGATGAAGATGTTAAAGTCCTGTTAAGAAAACTGCTTTTCGAGCATGTGCTACCAAATTCTGGAAAGCTCATTCAGGATCCAACTCCATCAGAATTGTCTGACCCCTCGGTCACTTCATTATGGAGTGTTCAACAAGATCATCTCTACAAAATCTTCATGTACTATACTCAGAAGAAGAGATCTCACAAGGAAACATTACAATGGGTTCATTATAACAAGGGACTTCATACTCTGAATGTCGACGAGTTTTTCATGTTTTGTTCTGACTTTGAAATATTCCCTCAATTCTTTTCCAAGATTCAACTGGCAAGCATGTTTACCTCGTGCTGTAAAACTTCTCAGAACGAACAGATTTCAGAACACGTTTCCAAGGAGGGCCGTTTAATGACGTTTGTAGAATTCTTGGAGTGTCTAGGTAGAATTGCTCTTGCAAAGTATAGTGAATCCCCATTGTGTGAAGTGTACAAAACTGCCCGTCAAAAGATTGAAGGCCTACTGGAGCATATGCACTTATCAGAGGGCAGAAAATTTTTTGCCGCTCAACTAGGTAATCGCTTGTTCAACAATGTGGAATCTCCAATGAAGAAACAACTTGTACAACAAATGAAACAGTCATATTTGGGACGTAATCCTCAACGAGCCAAGCTTCAATATTCAGATTTTTCATTTGCCAAACAAAAACTTAAGGAAAAGGACTCGATCGACATTTCATTGAGGAGAATGGCTGAAGAACAAGAACATTCAGAAACGAAATGTAACGCTAAAGATGTAGTGCTTTATCTTGCCTCGAAATCCGATGATGAGACATCATGGAAGTTCATTACTTCAGGAGAATTGACATTAAGCTTCTCGAACGTTCTTTCGTTCATTGACCAGGAAGGCAATTGTTTGTTCAAAATTCCCCTCTCTAGTGAAGGCCTTCCTGTGATCGAAGAAAAAGAATTGTTCCATATTTTCAGGGATGGAATACTTGTAGATGATCAGAGTATTTATGCCATTCAATTTAGCTCCAAAACAGTGTCAGATATGTTCGAGAAAGAATATGAAAATTTGGTTCAAGAAGAAAAGAAGAAAGTTTTTGCCAAGTCCTCTCCCTTTAAAAACGTTTCACTGTTATCCCCTAATGTGAGCACCCCTAAGAAATCTAAGGATTTATTGAAACCGCCTTCTACATCATCGTCGGGAGTTTTTAATACTCCTAACAAGAGCGGAGGCGCTCAGAAGGGCAGCAATTCCTCGCAACGCTCTCAACCTCGCTCACAAACACGGCCAGAAAAGAGTAGCCATTGATGATGAACGAGTCATGGAATCAATCCAGCGTGAGCCCAATTGCAATGCTCTCTCAGAATTCAAATCGTATGATGCTTCCTTCGTCTTCACCATTGTTAGCTGGTCAACTTCAAAAAACTCCTGTGAATACCACTCCTAGCAAGGTTGCTTTATCGCCTTCTAAATCCCTTTCAGAAAGAGATTTGTCTTGTAGTACAGACATCAATACTTCGAAACAAGAGTCAAGATTGCAAAGAGAGGTTGGGTTCCTAAGTGTTCAAGGAATGACGCTCAACAAGAGTGATTGTAGTGCATGGTCAAGTCATGATATTCACAAATTGCTAACCACACCAAAAACAAGTGGTGGAATTGGTCTCGTTGCAGAACAAATTGTTGGCGTTACACTGTATGGCAGCGATCTTGAAACTGTTGTTGATGCTCTCATTCGATTCGAAGGAGACGATGAAGATAAAATCGAACATGCTTGTGCACAGATTTTTATAGACGATTTGAGCATGCGAATAAGGCAGCCCATTGTGAGATGGATCTTGCAAAATTTACTGAAAAGGATGTGATCGATTCACTACCTAGGTATGTGAATGAAGGTGTGCCACATCTAAGCGCTAGGGGCCTTTTCATCACACACTGTTTTGGTTCAATAAATTATCCAATTCTTGAAGAGGTCTTTTCAAGATATTGTTGGTATGCTGTGGAAGACTATATACATTTGATAAGAAGCGAATCTTACAATGAGGCGCAAATGTTGTTTTGAAGGTAATAGGTTTTTGTTGTTTGCTCATACATGCATTTCCAAGTGTCAAGGGATGTCATCTTCAACGAACGGGCTTTGAAACGAGCGCCAAAAAAATTTACGACATTATAAAAAAATCCCCACAAAAAGAATGCCTCTTTCTAGCACATCGGACAACAGCCCTACACCCAATCCGGGTATGGGAGACACTCAAGATGAAGACACCATGAATGATTCACTGAAAAAGCATCAAAAGAAGAACCAAATGGCATCGACCAAGTTGAAAGATACGTCGGACGGTGCTCTCACCAAACAACGGTTCATGATTGACAAGATCAAGAAAGATAATGATCTTCTCCGAGAAACTATTGCAAATTTGACGAGACATATCAATACCAGTGAGAGTGTGGCAATCGGAAAGAAAATTAACAAATTAAATGATATTATTTATAATATTACTTTGAAAATTCAAGAGGAGAAGAGAAAGGTCGAAAATTTGGAGGAACACTTTAAAGATATTTCCAACCGAATAGAAGAAGCCAGAATTGAGAGGTCAGGAGTCAATGTTTCTAAAGAAAGTAATAGACTTGTCGAGAAGCAAATCAAAGTTTTGGAGAATAGACTCGATAAAGCGCTTGTAAAATTCAACGAGGCACTTACATCTAACAAGGTTTTGAGAGATCAAATAGAAAATTTGAGAAAGGAAAGAGTTGTGTTTGATACAATATACAAGAAGATGGAAAAAGAGTTGCAAGACAAGAAGAAAGAAATGGCTAAAATAATTGAGTTGTCGAACGCTGCCTATGAAGAAAGAGGTCAAGCACTCGAAGAGCAAAAAAATGTCAAGCGGCAACACCAAGCAGAGCTTGAAAAGATTGAAGAAGAGCGTGAGCAACTCGATCGATTGTTGAAAGAGGCAGAGAAAGTGACTGAAAAACTGCAACAACGAGAGTTGGAAAGACGTGAAAAAGAAATTCAAGAATCGGCCGAGATGGACCGAAAGAAACTTCTTCGTTCCACGAACTGGTCCTCCGCAGGAAACAAATCTCGCACGACAGATGCCAACGAAAAGAGAAAGCAGCTCGAGGATCGTTTTGCCAAAATTGAGGAAGCAACTGGTAAATCCATTGATGAGCTCATTGATCACTTCTCTCAGTCAGAAGATCAGAACTTTTCTCTCTTCACTTACGTCAATGAGTTGAACAGTGAGATTGAAAAGCTTGAGGAGAATATTTCAGAAATGGAGGAAGAAATTAAGAAGTTTAAAGGAGAAGGTGTCAATTCAGAATCTCAACGAAAGAAGGTTCTCTCAGAAATTCAAGACAAGATTAACGAGACCAACAGCAAGACTGATCTGTACCAACGAAAATATGAAAATTCCCTAAAGACACTTGAAATTATTTCTAGAGGCATTGAGACAATTTTCAACAAGCTCAAATGCGATCCAACCTCAATTTCAGACATGCTAGGAACTACTGGTGTGACAGAATCCAACAT